TGAATAGAGAAAAGGGCTGAGCCAAGCATAAGTGCTGAGCCAAGCAAGACCCTGCTGTGCTGAGGGTGGGCTTTCAATGAATGGGAGGCAATAGGTAAATCAATAACACTTTAATTCCATGCCACTGATAATTGCCGTTTCCTCCTTACAGTCAAAATCCGTATAAAGTATTCCTGTGGATTCAATAACTCCTTGAAGGTCGCACTGAGGGAAATTGCCTGGCTTGTGAGCCTGAGGCCTGTGGAGTAGAGCAGGGCTGCTTGATCTCACTGGCCCATGAAAAATAAGGAGGAAGCTCCAGGCCAGCATGAAGATATTGTGGTGATATTGTGATGTCAGGAGCTGTGGGGCCTGTTTTACGCAGCTTTAGGATACAGGGCAAGATAGATGCTAAAATGTAATATAATGAAGCCCTGGCAGGTTTTTGGTTTATTTTAAAGCACCCTTGGAAGGCTGCAATTTTAAATGAAAGAGTGGAGGAGGGGTGATTATCTCTCTCCCAGCCACTTCCACACTAGGCCCCACTCTGGCAGGTGCTCCCACCTCCCTATGCAGGGTGCCGGGTGCAAATTTATGTATGCAGTTTTGCATCACGGATGAAAGCAAACATTTGTGAAAAAATAATACTAATGATGTAAATATAAATATAAAAATCACCAGTAACTGAACTTTCAAGTTACCATGCTTCTTTGTTTCTGAACACGTCATTGTTCTGGATTTCATCCATTAAGCCAACCTTAGGGTAGCTCTTAAGAACTGCCAAATCACCATTGTTATGTACTGAAGTTCTCACCCTGGGCCAGCAGGGGGATACTGTAGATAGTTTTCACTCAGGTCCACATATGCAAATAAGGGATTGAAAGTGACGTTCAGTGATTGGATAGTTACAGAAAGTGGTTACTGTTGCATTGTAGTGGAGCTCTATATAAGTAGGCTGGCTGAACCCTTCAGTTCAGTTCAGTTCTGGCCTGTGAATAAACAAGAGCTGTTTGAAGAATCGCTGTGTCGTCTGCTATGTTCACCCACAACTTAACAACCATCAATATCTTTTAGATCAAGTATGGGAAACCTGTTACTCTCCCGTCATATGTGGTTAGACTACAACTCCCATCATCCATGACCATTGGGCCAGGGTAGCTGAGGCTGCCAGGAGCTGTAGTCCAACAACTTCTGGGAGTCACAAGTTCCTTGTCCCTGATCTAGAAGTGCGTGTGACTACTTGATCATCTTTATTCGCATCAGAGATATGATAATAGTGACCACTAAGGAATTGGCACTGATCACATACTTAGAAAGAGGAAACCTTCAAGATGAAATTATGCAGATGCACATATTAGCTAATGAAATCTTCATCTGTTCCACAAACATCCTCTGGGAATGAAAGTTAATGGGAGAAGCAGCAGAGCATTAGAAAGGGAGTCTCTCAAGTCACTTCGTGCTGAGCATTCAGAAACTGGAGACTTGAGCTGCATGTTTATTTTATTTGGGCCATGTATGCCCCATCCTTTAATCAATATATGTGGGGCATAGTCAATATTCACATTATAAAACTCTGTGTTCAGAAGCAGCCTGCACAGCTAGGAAGCCAAGCATTCACTCTGGAATAGCCATTCTTGTTCACTTCTGTTAAGTTGTGGGTGAACATATCAGACGACACAGCAATTCTTCAAACAGCTCTTGTTTATTCACAGGCCAGAACTGAACTGAACTGAAGGGTTCAGCCAGCCTGCTTATATACAGCTCCACTAGAACGCAACAGTAACCATTTTCTGTAACTATCCAATCACTGAACATCACTTTCAATCCCTTATTTGCATATGTGGACCTGAGTGAAAACTATCTACAGTATCCCCCTGCTGGCCCAGGGTGAGAACTTCAGTACATAACAACTTCCTTTTTACCAGGCCAACCACATGACATTATTCTCTTGAATTTTGTCCATTGTTCTTTTGCCTCTTTTCAGACCCCATAAAATCTGACTGGGGGATGGACTGGGGGAATGCACAATGTTCCCAGATATAAATTGCCAGCGTGACTTTTCCATCTTTTTAAGGAGGTGTGGTTTGGAAGTGTGTAGAGATGTACAGGTGGGTGAACTTATTGCAATACATCAACACTGGGGTGCGTTCCCTATTACCTTTCCCATCAGTGCCATTTTATCAGGGTGTTTGCTTTGTACAAAAACAGACAAAATGATCTTGTATTTTGCCCTAGAATACCTTTTCACCTTTTTTTAAAAAAACACACACACATTGAATATTTGCTTAAATGAAAGTGTTTTGTTTTAAAATGGATTAAAAATCACATGCTGCCTTTCTGATTGGTGCCAATCTATTTATTCATCCGAATCAGTTTTATAGTCATCTAAGAGCCTCCCAGAGTGGCTCACACAAATCAGTTTTTAAAAAACAAAAAACAAAAAACCAGCCCTTTCCCTCAGGCTTACGATCTAGAAGATATGGCACAAAAGGAATTGGAGGAAGAAAGCCAACTCGGGACATTAGTTCTTACCATTCAAAGTTCTGATTTTCTTTTTCTTATTATTCCTGCTGGAATGGCAACAGTTCGAGGACAGGAAGAGCTAAAATTGCTAGCCTCTTGGAGAATTTTTGCTTCCCAATGCCTCTTTCTTTGCTCTAGCCAGATAGGTAAAAAGGTAAAAGACCCCTGGACGGTTAAGTCCAGTCAAAGGCAACTATGGAGTTGTGGTGCTCATCTTGCTTTCAAGCCAAGGGTTTGTCCCTGCTTTCCAGGTCATGTGGCCAGCATGACTAAACCACTTCTGGTGCAACAGGACACTGTGATGAGTGCCAGAGCACACGGAAAGGCCGTTTTCCTTCCCGCCGCAGTGGTACCTATTTATCTACTTGCACTGGTGTGCTTTCGAACTGCTAGGTTGGCAGGAGCTGGGACAGAGCAATGGGAGCTCACCCCAACAGGCAGATTTGAACTGCTGACATTCTGATCAGCAAGCCGAAGAGGCTCAGTGGTTTAGACCACAGCGCCACAATGCCTACTGGAAGAAAAACCTGGTGGAACTGTTTTTCAGCAGAGCCAATAGAATAGTCCTGCTTCTCACCTCTCCCTCTGCTGCTGCATGATACAATGGCGTTTTAACACTGTGTGTGTGTGTGTGTGTGTGTGTGTGTGTGTGTGTCTGATCTTTTAAATACCTTTTCTCTACCTTAAAAAATAAAGTTAAAAGAAAGAACTGCTTTATAAATAAATGATTTATTAAGAAAAGATCATTAACAAAATGGCATGCCTGGAACTGTCCATTCACCACGTACACATGCTATGTGTGGACACACACAAAAAGCAGCTGGATGCTTGATCTAATGTTTGCATGGGGCCACATAAATGTTATAATGAAAGAAGGGTTAGAATTGTTCTAAACAAATAAACACATTCTGACTCTAAGGCTCCCAGTCAACAACTAGAAATGATTAAGTGAAGAAAAAGGTTTGAAGGAGTAACCGTAGCATACCTCTAGCGTAGCATGTGGACAGATGGCAATTCCCTTTGGGTAAAGCTTAAATTTAATCCTGGAGTAAATACCACACAACTGAACAGCTGCATAAACTCTCAACTTAGAGGCAGTATTTTGCATTTTGGCTATCTTTCTGCCTTAAATACATGTTGTTGTTTTTTTAAAAAAATATATAGAATGTTTCCAAATCAGAACAGACCTCAAATTTTTCATTCCTAATTTCCTTTTTAAAAAAAATCATACAATGTTTTAAAACTCCTCTTTTCATGTTTTGTTCAGATGCTTGAGCGCCAGTCCCTAAACCATGTTGGTAACATTCCCCTGCAATTTCTCGTCAACTCATTGACTCCAGCTACACCACTTGAGATCCAGAACCTGGCTGGCCTTAGGGGTGGCATCACTGGGCAACGGCCGAGGCCCACACGCCAGCAGTGGCCCAGGGCCAGCTCTCCTAAACCTCTTGGCTCCTCCTCCTTGTCTCTGTCTGCTCACCTGCCCTCTTCTGGCATGCAAGCAGTCATAGGTGGAAGAAGATGGAGCAGCATTCTCCACTAGCCATGTCCTCTCCCCTCCTGGGCAGTGATGTGGATTGGGCTTAAAGGCAGTGGTGGACCTACATTTTGAGAGCCCTGAAACTTCAACTGTTATGGCTGAGAAGAAAGTACAGTCGCTACCAGGGAAGAATGGTAGACTAAACTGATTGACTCTGAAGAAATGGCAAAACTGACCGGAAAAATTAGGAACCAGGAAGACCAAAATATTAATAAGGAATGGGGAAAATATATAATTTATTCAAAAATTACTGTAAACAAGTAAAATTATTAGGAGGATTGATATGACACTTGTAGCTAAAAGTTGGACTATGGTTTAATTAAAGATTTTAATTAAAGAATGGCTGGGAAAACCAAGCCAGATGGGCAGGGTATGAATAAGAAATTATTATTATTTGATGGAACTGGAGTAACAGATGAGATACAGGAGAAAAGGATGACATAAGGACCCATGAAAGGGGAGGAGGGAAGTCAAAGGAGATTTATTGATTATATTTTGTTTGTTTCCTTTGTGATTGGAAACTCGAAAACCCAAAAATAAACTATATAAAAAAGAAGAAGCTTGAACTGTTATGGAGCCCACTTTGAAACCAGCAACAAGGTCTGGGTAACCACTGTTACCTTCTTCAGTGGAGTTGTTTACAACAACCTTTACAACATCTGTGCTGCTGACCCTCAAGCTTTGGGATTGTTGAAATATATACAACAAAAAATTGATTAAAAAAAAAAGCAGTATGGAGTAAAGTCACTTCTGGGGTCCCCCTGGGATTCGTTTCATAGCAGATCCGCCCCTGCTTACAGAAACAGGGCAAGAAAATGGGCAGCTATGACAGTTATGAGGGGAAGAGCCCAGTCAGGTGGTAAGAGGAAGAGGAGGTGAGTCCACTGACGGCGTTTCAGGTGAAGTCCCCCCTAAACCTGAAGGTGTCACAGATCCAGCAGAACCTGACAGCAGAACAATGTTGGTGGAGTCACTCCAGTGTCTAAAAGCGGCAATGTGGGATGGGATTGAGAAATGTCGGTGTGATGGTGAGCTGCGATGACTCATGCTTCTGAAACGAGTTGGTTGTAACCATGGTTTTACAGGACTCATACAGAGGCTGAATTCTTTTAGGATTGGAAAAGGTGTGGGAGAGAGATGCTAAAAAAAATCCCACAGGTTTTAATCATATGTAAACTGACAAAGAGAGAGAGAGCAGGAACAAGCCTGAAGTGTCTAAATTGGGAGCTTCTGAGCTTGTGGCAGGAGAGAAATGTACGGCTGAAAAGAAACATCTGGGATACATGTGGTGTGGGAATTGAGCCTCTTAGCCAGAAAATCTGAGCAATTTGATCTAGCAGCTACTAATTCCAGTCTGTGGGACTGTTAAGAGATTGAAGATGCTTCCCTCTCCTTGCCCGTTTTAGGATTTAAGGATGGGAAGAATGCTGCTGTTAATGCATCATTTAAGTAGCTATGGTATTTCCAATAATGGTTTGACTCTTTGTTTTATCCCTGAAGGATGAGCTGATACCATCCTAGGCCAGAAACTATACAGAAGCAGACTCAGTGAATATGTCACTGCTTTGAATTACTGCATAATGATTTGGTCAGTATAATGCTGCATACTATGGGATGCTGGAAGGAAAAATACTCAGAGATAGAGCACATGCTTGACATGCAGAAATCCCAGGTTCAATCCCCAATATCTCCAGTTAAATGAACTTAAGCTCAGTTCCAGCCATTTTCCCTTATGCGCGCATAGAAAAGTCACATTATCAGTTTTTTAGCGCTTGTCTCTATAGAGACAGGCAGTGCCTGGAGGACTGAAGTGGGGCCAAGTAGGAGCCGGAAACAAGTTTCATTGCTTCTGGCACCTTCCCATAATCTGGAGAACAAATTGTGACATATATGCTAATAGTACATAGATAATGCATCTAACCCTTGGGCTTGATTCCTATGGAGCGTAGCTCAGTGAGGGAGCACTTGTGTTGCACTCTAGAAGCTCCTGGGTCAAATCCTGGCATCACCAGTTAAACAGAGAATCGGGCAGTGGGTAATGGGGAAGGTCTTTGTGGGAGCAGCTAGTGATCCACTATGAGTCAGAGGAGACAACACTGCGATAAACAGAAAAATAATCTGAGCTGAAAAAAGAGACAGCTTCCTATCTTCTTATCCAAGGACATCGTGCAGTTTTTCTGTGCTTGATGAGCGTACACTTGATGATTAACTGGTGAATGGCATGAATTGACTTCCTTGAAAAGCAGCATGTTTATTTCTTCAGAGCATGCCATGTTTTCAAGCAGCAAGGTTCTCAAAGCGGTTCACGAGAATAACAAAATTGAAATAATTAAAACAGTATTTTTAAAACAGCAACTTGCAAAGTACAACCACCAACAGAAAAAAAGACAGACAGAAAAACAAAAACAAAAAAACAAAACAGTGGATAAAATCATGGCACTGCACCAGCACAACAAAATGGTCAGGTAAAAACCAAACAGAAAAAGCACACTATGGGCTGTATCCAAGTGCAAGATTCTTCCACTTGATTTGGGGCAATCTCCACCCTTAGCAGCTTGATAAGATGCAGCCGATAACGCTGAGAAAGCAGGGCTGGCCCAAGCCTTTTTGGCACCTGAAATGAACCACAAAATGGCGCCATCCCCCAAGTCAGGGAAGAAGATCAACATCATAAACAGAGGGGGGGGGATCATCCTTCCCTGCAGGCTGAAGTGGGGATCAAAGGTCATAGGGGGCACTCTGAATCACGCTGGGTGGGCGCAGAGCTCAGGAGACCAAGAAGGCAGCCCCCACCATTTGCCCCAGAAGTGTATTCTATTTGCCAAGAGATCTCTGTGGAAATGACATGGTGGGGGGCTGCCTAGGAGGAGGCAGGTCTGGCCTCTGAGGAGCATTGCTACTGTGACAGTGGTGGCAGCAATGGGTGATGTATTTCTTAGAGGCCAGAGCTGCTGCTCCTGTGGAACCTGCCACCTGAGGCAGTTGCCTCACCTTGCCTGCTGGGTGGGCCAGCCCCATCAGATAGTCTCCCACCCTGAGGAGAGGCTTTGGGGGAAGGAATTATATGGGGCTGCAAGGGGGAAGTAGGGAAGGGGATGACCAGTTGCATAAGCTGTCCTTTCCTTGTGCAACTCGACAAAATAACAGTGACACCCTGCATAACATTGCCGTGCCATATGGCAATTTCAGAACTGATTTTGGTAAAGGTGATGCAGGCTCCTTTACGTTCTTGTTGTTTAGGTGCATTTTGAATGACCAACGTCACCATAATATTTAGATAATATTTAGATATCCATCAATAATTTTTATCGCTGACATACCAAATTCCAAAGAAGGCAAATCTCTGTATTTTGGAGCAATGTCAAAGAGAAGTCTAATCTACAGTGAGATAAAATGAGTGGCGTTGGACTTTGTTTATTGACGAACTGAACTTCAGCCAACAGGGCTAAATGACTACAACACTCTTTTGGCATTCACAAGACTTGGGTCTGTAGTTCACTCAGCTATTAACTAATCCTGCTTGGCATGGGTCATTCATTTACTCTGAACTGAAGTTACCAGCTTATTATGAAAAAACACCCCCATGTTATTCTCCCTAGTGTAAATATTGGACCAACTCTGGAAGGATAGCTGTGCTGGCCTGTGGGCAGCAAAAAGATACAAAGGGGCAGCGCAGATATAAACCTCCCTCTCAACTATTGCCAAAATACCTAGAACTTGCTTCTGGAATGTGACCTCTTTCACCTCTCACATAAGGCACTGACCTTAAGAGCAGTTGATGCAGTCCAGCATTCCTGTCTAATTTGGACAGTGTTAAAATGCCATTTCAAATCCTGGTTGAATGAGGAACCCTGGTTAGTATTAAGTGTGCTTGAGACTGGTGCTGACCTTTTCCCTTCACAGTTAAGAGAGGAGTGGAGAATTTATGCAAGAACAAGAAGGTAAGCAGGTATATAGAAGTTTATATTGCACCCCACACCAGCCTTGTTGAAAAAGCAGCTAGAAAGATGAACAAGCACATGCCCTCAGGCTGGGCAACAGTCTTTGAGCTGTCGCTCAAATGGAGCCAATATCACATTTGCCTCAGCCCAAGTTTCTCAGACTTACAGTGCAATTCTAACCATGCCCACTAAGCACTAAGTCCTATGGAATTAAATCAGGCTTGCTCACAGGTAAGTGAGGCTAGGATTGCAGTCTAACTCACAGGATGCTTTAAGTGGACTGCGGCAGGTAAGCTGTGAGTGCGCATGAATTGAGATGGAAGGTGCAGGGGAGAAGAGGAGATAAGAAAGGTTGGAAAGGCGATAATTAAAGATAACAGGAATGAAGTATGGGGAGTGATGTATATGCTTTGAAAGGGAGGGGAGAAGAGAGCTAAGCTGTAACTGAAGGAAAACAGAGTTCTTTCTTGGAAATGTAATACTTTTATTACCTTCATTTAGGCCTTGGTGCCTTCCAGGCCTTGCCAGCAGTTACAACCGGGCACGTGAAAAGGTTGTGGTGGATCAGCACAGTGCTTTTGAGATAACAGTGTAATCGTGACTCAGGACTCAGAACTTTGCAGATCAACAAGGCCACAGAAAACCCCAACCCTAGAGAGCAGAGATGTCAATAACTTTAATCTCAGCAAGTTGAAACCGGCAGGTAAATGCTCTAAAACTGTAACCTATTAAATAATAACAAACTACAGTATTCATCTTCTTCCAAGTTACACAGAAAAAGAATCAAAGGGAGAAATGCAGTCATTATCTGTTTCATGCTACAGTGGTACCTCGAGTTAAGAACTTAATTCGTTCCGGAGGTCCGTTCTTAACATGAAACCGTTCTTAACCTGAAGCACCACTTTAGCTAATGGGGCCTCCCGCTGCCACCGTGATGCAATTTCTGTTCTCATCCTGAAGCAAAGTTCTTAACCCAAGGTACTATTTCTGGGTTAGCGGAGTCTGTAACCTGAAGCGTCTGTAACCCGAGGTACCACTGTACATGGTTCGGAATGTAGCTCCTCAAAGGAAGGTGGAATTAATATTCAAGCCCGTCCCCTATGATGTTCACTTGTTTTTGAAACCTATATAGGCTGTGATTTGACAAACTGTTTTTATTTTTATTGTATTCACTATGCTACCTCCTAGGTTCCGCCCAAAGTGACTCACAACTCCATAACAATACATGAAATAAATGGGCTTAAACAATGATCAAGGAACTAGTCCACAGCAACATTCTCTCTATGATATGATTATAACCAGAGTGGAGTTACAACTCTCCTAATATTCTAGAAAGCAATGGGAAGCAGAAACACCAATGGTGCTGCCTGGTCATATTTATGGGGCTTGAGTCTCTTCTATGATTATCTTTCCAACAGCAGCGGTCAAACGCTTCCTTCATCGCCATCGCCATCTCTCTCCACAAAAGATTCCAAATTCTTTGGGAAGTCAATGAAAAGCTGCAACTCAAGGGCAGAATCCATGAGAGCAAAGCACAGGCCCTTTCTCTAATAGGTTCCACTTGCGGACTCTGGAATCCCTGCTCATAGAATTCAAGCCTTATTTTGGAAGTTGAACTCGCAGGAAACAAGGCACCAGCAATAGCCCTACAAGTGCCTCTTTTCATGCTGAGACAAAGGCACTGGCTAATTCTCCTTCTCTCTCTGAAATGAAGCCTTTTAATTTCCCACTCTGGTTTCTGCCGCCCCCCTTGATTCCATCTGTACAGTTTCCAGCAGCAACACAGGCGAGTGGCGCCTTCACAGGTGCACTCAAAGTTCAGGCTCGCTCCGAAGAGCAACTTTTACAGGGGAATTAAGTAGAACATTCTTTTCTGAGTAGCTAGAGATTGGCAATCAAGGCTGAACTTCGGAACAAAGATATTGTGCCTTCAGGATTTGGCAGAAGGAAGGAGTTGCGCTTTTTTTGAGACAAAGATCATTTTACCATAACATTCAACAATTGTGCTTATCTAGCCATGTAGATCAAGAGTGGCAATAATTAGAGATGTGGCCGGAATTTCTCAACTGGAGCAGTACTCTTTCTCCTGCCTCCCAAAGTTCAAGGGGTCAGGGATTTTGCTCCATTGACTGCTGAGGGGATGTAACAACTATGAAATCACATATAGAGGGGCGGGGGAGGAGCAAAGCTCTGTACAGCAGGCTGGCTAAGAAATGTGTTTCCTTTTGGGATGATCAACAGTCTATGACATAACAATCTTTCCAGTTTCCAAGCATTTCTGAGGACCGCTCTCTCCTTTGCATTGCCCCCCACCACTACACAACCTTTTAGTACTCAGGCTTGCTTTCAAAACTTTACTCGATAATAAATAAATATACCCATACAGAAGTGTAACATCACATGAGGAGCATTGTGGTAGGTTGTGTCATGTTAGGTTGTATTAGGGGAAAAAGCACATGTACAGTGGGGCCTTTGGGCCTGCTGATCAGAAGGTTGACGGTTCAAATCCCCGCGACGGGGTGAGCTCCCGTTGCTCAGTCCCTGCTCCTGCCAACCTAGCAATTCGAAAGCACATCAAAGTGCAAGTAGATCAATAGGTACCGCTTCGGCGGGAAGGTAAATGGCATTTCCGTGCGCAGCTCTGGTTCGCCAGAAGTGGCTTAGTCATGCTGGCCACATGACCCGGGAGCTGTACACCGGCTCCCTCGGCCAGTAAAGCGAGATGAGCACCGCAACCCCAGAGTCGGCCACGACTGGACCTAATGGTCAGGGGTCCCTTTACCTTTACAGTGGAGCCATCCTAGGACAGCAGCACTGCAGAATTCCTGTGGGAAGCCAGAAAGCAGGACCCTGTGGTTTCCAGCAATGGGTATTCAAAAACATTACTGCTGCCAGTCTTCTCTGAGATGGAATGCAAGGTGGAAGACCCCCCTCTGGAGAAATGCGGGGAGAAATCACAGAACTGTAGAGTTGGAAAGGACCATGAGGGTCATGTGGCCCAAGCTGCTGCAATGCAGGAATCTGGGGGGGGGGGGGAAGGAGGCCTTGAACCCACAACCCTGAGAGTCTAATCCTCTACTGTCCCTCATGTCCCTAATGTGCTGCAAGGAGGGTTTCCGTCCGACACATCTGGAAGGAGACAGATGTTGCGGTGAGGAGACTGCTTCAGGTGGCCACCGCAGCGCGTGAAAAGATCACAGCGATTCTTTCCATTTGCGCTTTGGTTTTTAGCAGAGTGCTGCTCAGAAAACATCCTGATATGCTGATGCATATGATGAGCGGAAAAGGCAAACCCCAAAGGAAGTAACAGCGTGGTTATTTTAAAAAGCAAGAAAGGAACTGCGTCTTTTTCAGTTTAAGAGGCTGTACTCCTTGCTCTACTTAGATGCAACTTAAAACTGGCATGCGTTTAAATTGATTAACAAATGTACGGGACGTTTAGTCACGACGCGAGGTTGTGTGACCATGACTCTCCCCTGGAGTTTGTGCGCAATGCAAGGTTCTAAAGCGAGAAAGTAAAGAGGGCTAAAATGGATAGAAATCTTGGGAAGAAGAAAGGCATCAATACGCACACACACACACAATTGCCCATAAAAGTCTACCCACGTATATGGGGCCTGGCAGCATGAATGCACCAAGAACTTCTTGTCCTTAATCCAGTCTTCCAAATCCCATTAATTAGCAAAGCCTCTTATTTGTAAAGAAAACTACATTCTTAAAAAAAAAGAAAGAAAACAACACAGAATCCATTGAGGTGATGATGTCATTGCCAGAGTGATTTGTCAGTTGTTCTAGAGAAGAACCACCCAGAGCCAAGAAAGGCACAAAGGGGGGAAACTGTGGGAGAAAGACAGCTTGAGCCAGATGAAACCTGACCCAGGGAAGCCTTGGAAAATAACTGCCCTGAAAAAGCAGGAGGCTTTGGGTGTTTCTGCAAGCTCAGATTGAGGGGGAGAGAGCAAAAGAGGACATAGATCCTGGGTGGCAGGTTAGGGTGGCGGCAATGTGGACACTGCCGCAGTAAGTGCTTTTTTCTGAGGGTACTCAAGGGTACACAGTACCAGCACCTCCCTCCTCCCCCAAAAATGTTAAAAGTGTAGCACTTACTCTAACAACTTCATGTTGAGTATCGGCACCTTCATATGTCTGTGTGTGTGTGTGTGTGTGTGTGTGTGTGTAAGCACACTGGACGCAGGAGGGGAGAAAGAGGAGAACAGCTAGTGCACTCAGTTGGTTAGAGCATGGTGCTGATATCGCCAAGGTTGCAGGTTCAATCCCTGTAAGGGACAGGTGCGTATTCCTGTATTGCAGGGGGTTGGACTAAATGATCCTCAGGGTCCCTTCCAACTCTACAATTCTGTGAAATCTATGCTTTGTGACTCTTCCCTCTCTCTGGAATGCCACCCCCACCCCCCGTTTGTGAGTCTGTGTAATGCATGGAGCCCAGGTGGATGGGAGAGGAAGAAAGAGAAATGAGTTACTGTGGCAGGGAAAGAGGTTCCACTCAATAATAACAACATTCAAAATACACTACCTTACCTTGCTATATGACATGGCTATCTCTGCCCAATCCACCTGTAAGAAGGCCCCTCCTTCCATCCAGACTCTATTTGCAACTTTACAGGTGTCTCTGGCCCACCTGCAGGAGAGTGGGAGGTTGGTGGTATGGTAGACTGGTTGCCCTTGTGGCTAATTTTGTAGATTTGGCACTATGTTTCCAGGACTTCTAGGTGCACAGCTCTGGCTTTCTGTGGTCCTCAGTTATGGATAAACAGACAGGCTCTCCCACAGCCAACCAGATGCAATATTATTCTTGTGTTTAAGAAAGGTTCCTGAGCCTGGTTGTATTTAATGTTAAAGAAAAAGTGCTTGAGAAGCTTGGAAACCTACCCACTGCCACAGGTTTGCTGCTGAGAACTGCCCCTGCCTGGCTGCTATTTGCCCTTGAAAATGCTGCTCACAGTAAACAGCATTTTGGGCAGGGAGCAGCAAGGAAGGACCTATTCTCTATAGAAAGCAGAATCAGGAGCATGTACCAGATCTCTCTCTCTCTCTCTCTCTCTCTCTCTCTCTCTCTCACACACACACACACACACACACACACACACGGGAAAAGCTTTACCTCCAAACTAAAACCAACCTGGTTAAAAAGCATGCTTGTTTAAACACAAGATTAATCCCAGGTGTAGTAGGGCCCCTGTGTTTCTTGATAGTGTTCCTCCTAACAATTTCTATGGCTATTATTCAGTCTTCCTCCACTTTCTGAAGTATATATGCTTCTCAGTTTTCATTCTTTCTGCCTTCTCCACTTAATGCCTACTCTGCCTTATCTTCCTTCCCCAGCCATTTCCCAGCTTCCACACTCAAACTTATCCTCTCTGCAGTCTGTTGTAGGAACAGGCGTTACACTGCCCCTTTTGTTTTCTAGGCATTCGAAAGGAGCCCGTTCCCCCTTGCCCATATGATTCCAATTCCATGTCCATAATGTCATGGGGCAAACGTACGGGATCCACACCATGTATTTAATGTGTATGGCTTTCTGCAAAGAATCCTGGAAACTGTAGTTTACCCCTCACTGAGCCACAAGCCTTGCGCCTTTCACAAACTACAGTTCCCAGGATTCTTTGGGGATTCTAATGTGGATTAAATGTCTGGTGGATTCTAATGTGGATTAAATATCTCTAATACGCATTCAATGTACGGTATGCATTGTAACCACTATTGACCAAGGTTCTGGCACACTGACAGCCATGCTAAGGAGCAGCCTGCTTGTCTCAGTGCTGAGCATGCTTTTGTCGTTGCTTAACGCACTTGTCACAACAACTCCCCACCCCACCCCACTCTTTAGACAGTTGAATTAAGCTTAATTGGGGCTCTCTGCTATTGAAGCTAAGCGTGGGTTCACATATATGTTTACATCTTCCTCTCCTACCAGCCGTTTTCCCTTCAGACCAGGTTGGATGGGCTGATCACAGATTTTTGTCCTCAAGGCTCCTAGCAGCAGCTTTCTGCAGTGTTTATGCGTGGGCATTACCCAGTGCCGCTCCACTAAAGTGTGCCACAAGTTGCCACAGAGGATTTCACAATGCGGTTGAGAACACGAGCCCCTTTGCGTTCCGCGCATCAGAGCTTTCACTCACATCCCACATGATCCAAAGCGAATTCCAAAGCTCTGCTTGAAGATTAGACAGCAGTTGCAGCCCACAAGACCTCGCCTGAGCCTCGTCATGCATTTCAACTCCTCCGGCACCACTGAAGTGTAGAGCAGGCAGGCTGTGTTTCACGCTAGGAGAGCGGCCTGTTGCTTGCAAGCTTTGTGCAACATTGCCATCTGGTGAACACAGTGCTGCACCGCAGTGAAGCATTACCAGCAGGAAACGGGTGTGCACCAACCACAAAATTCAGTTCAAAGCAATTAGGAAAACAGCCCACCTCAGTCTGAAGTGCTTTATGGGCTCCCCAGCCCTGTTCAGCTCAGGGGCTGCCCAAGTCTTCTTCACAATCCATGGGAAATTTACAACCTACTGGGAAAGTTAAAAACAGCTATCACCTTGTTTCCTTTTCAGGTGGATGAAATTTGCAGGCATATTATCCCTTCTGGAGTGGTTTTTTTTTTAAGGAGACATCTAAATCTTTAATTTTGATAGAATTGGCTGAAATTTGCAGGCAATGGCACCCTTCCTTCGGGTCTGAATCCTGCCAGGTTTCAGGAGGAAAGCTGCAGTGGTGGGGAGATATTCTTGTGAGGAGACACTCTGGTTGAAAATAGCACCCAATACAAAACTATTAGCTGTACAAACCATCAGTGATTCGCTGATAATTTGGGGGCCTCTGCTTAATAACAAAAACAGGCATAACCTGGATCCTCATATTTTTAGGTCTCTAACCTTTATATTATCAGAAACAAATGATGAACCACAGAGAACTGAATAATCTAAAGCAGAGGTTTTTTTCTGTCTGCATTTTCTTTGATGATTTTTGGGGTCCACATGATACCTCCCCCCTTCCCCATCCTCGCCACCCACTTGAAATTAGGCCAACGGCCACATGTACCCCTTAGGTCAGAGACCGATTTAAGGGAGCATGACCGGTTCAGTTGCACTGGGTGCCAAGCTGAGATGGCGCTGAAGGGGCCTCTACAACTATGATGTAGGATGGAAGGCGAGAGGCAGGGGACACTGAATTTGGGTGCTGCTGAAATTTGAGACCTCAAGGTCCGCCACTGCGTAGGCTGTCAGTTTTGCATCCCCACCTTCAAGTACATGTCGGCTCTTAGTGTTGGTGCCACAGAATATTGGCTAAGAATGTCATCTGGGAAGGCCCCAGTGCAAGTCCCACTCTGCCCTAGACAAACTAGGCACCTCTCCCAATGCTTCAGCCCATCTATTGTATGTACAGGGATAAAAAAAATACCTTACAAACTTGCTAGAAGGATTAATGAGATACTCTATGTGGAGGATTTATATAATTACATAATCCATTCCAAAATGTTCTAAATGATCATTATGCTGGTTGTCCACACAGTAGCCAAAACTGGGCACTGCTGGAAGCAAGCTACCCACAAATATAAAAGCATCCCTTATAGAAGAGTGCAGGTCAAGGCTGAGACAAACAGAAAATCAGAACAAGATTAGATTTGCCCATGAGCAAACTGCTGCAGTATTCTTTTGGCTTTCACCTGCATATCTAATTCATCTAATGCCAGAGTACATAGGCATAACTATGGGATTAATAGCATCTGCTTCGTTATCTAAATGAGGTTTCTGAGGGTTAATTGATTTTTGAAAACATGCCCTCCCGAGGGTCTCTCTAACCAACACTTTGGAATATCCAAAGACGGCCTCCATTTAATCTAAGTGGGGATCTATGCTCAGAGTAGCACTTGCTACATCAGGGCTTTGGAGGAAATTAGGATGCGCCTGCAGATATTAGTGTGTTAATACAATAATGATTTATTATGCAAATTGAAGCATGGGTGTACAGCTGCATTTGTGTGTGTGTGTGTTTTAATATCAAGCTCTTGAATTTTACTCTCAAAAAAGCATGCAAAAATTAGTTTGCTGTTTATTATATAGTTTCCAGGTTTTGGTTCTCTCGGGAAAACTAAGATACTTTCATGAGAAGCCTAAAGAGTAAAGAAGCAGGGTGGATAGTATTCACCTTCTTTTTGAGAAGCCATTGCTCCAAACGGCTCACGAACAGCCTTTCCCAGCTTGCTCTTGGGTGCTTATAGAGATGTCAGAGACCATCTACTACTGAACAATGGCCCCTGCCCCCAACATTCATGGCCTGGATCACCAGCCATTTGTGTGTTAATGCCAACTTATTACTCATGATTATTTGACGGCATCACAGTCTCCCAATGGGGTGGGTTAGTCACTCTGTTGGTCTAATCCAAGATGACTGAATGAGCCAAACGAGAATCAAAACTCAAGTCGTCGTCCCCCCGCCCCCGAGTATAAATCCAACATACTAACCATTCCACCACTGACTCTAGTGCAACTACTCTGAATCAAAGCGGCAACTAACTGGGTTTTTCCACACATAAAATTTGGCCATATAATCTTCACTAAGAATAGCTGACATAGTAGATGAAGTGCACATCTCTTATTATATGAAGCAGCTGTTTGGAAGTTTTCCAGAGTTTTGAGCTAAGCTGGCTCTTTGGTAGCACAGCTGTTGAGAAAATTTGCTGTTGCAGTATATTCACTTAATAGAGGGCCCAAACCACCATTAAGAGCTTCCATGCCTTGTCGATTCCTGTGTGCAAGTGAAGCAGCTCCAGTGTGGTAATTTAGACTCGAGAACCTCCTCTTTTCCATATGCATGAAAATTGTGTCCGGCTGCATCTTACATGTTCAACACACATGCTTCAGAAGTTGTTTAATACAAATCTGTCATGTTACTCAATCAGATTAGTTACTTCAAGCATCTCTGCAGATTGGATGCAATTGCACCTTTGTGGTTACACAATATACACAGCCAAATCTTACGTTTGAGCCCTTGGCAGACCACAGGTGCTCCATCACTGCCCTAGAAGTATGCAGCCCTGGACAAAAATCAAGTTAGTAACCCCTGATGAAAAGGTAGCGCTATATTATGAAACTGAGTTCAGTTTGAGAATGCCAGAGTGAAGTCATGATCTTTTGGATAGACATTTCAAGTACCGGTCCAGCAGATCTTTTTTTTTGGTGGGGGGGGGGTTACTCTAAGTAGTACCGTATTTTTCGCCCTATAGGGCGCACTGGCCCATAGGACGCACCTCGGGGGTTTTTTTTGGGGGGGGAATGAATAAAAAAAAATTATTCCCGCCCCCCGGGGGAAGCCCGAGCTTCCCGCGACCCCAGCCCACAGAACAGGCTGCTGCCTGCAAGCCCACGGGAACTCCCCCCGGGGGCGCAAGGCTTGCGGATAGCTTCCTGAAGCCTGGAGAGCAAGAGGGGTCGGTGCGCACCGACGCCTCTCGCTCTCCAGGCTTCAGCGAAAGCCTGCATTCGCCCCATAGGACGCACACACATTTCCCCTTCATTTTTGGAGGGGAAAAAGTGCGTCCTATAGGGCAAAAAATACGGTACTTATTTCCAAGTCTGATAACTAAGACAATGTTACCCTTTTCATTTCAGCAGCCACAGAACAAAGGATGTACCCTGAAGATCCATTTGAACCCCACTCAAAGTACTGGACTGCTGGTGCTGCCTTACTGTACAAGCACTGGGATGAATCGGAAGGCCAATCCTTGTAGTTATGCAGCATTAACAAAAACCTCCAAATATTTGAGAGCTATGGAATTCATTGGGAAACGGATCCCCCACATGCCTTTTAGTTTCTTCTTCCTCCTACCCCCACTTCTCCTAAGGAATCAGTATGCAACTGGGGACATGAAGAGTAATACTATCCCAGGCAACGTAACATTTAATAAAGCTGATAAAGTATAATGGTACTTAACCAGTATTCTTTTCTTAACAAAGCCACTGGTATTGAGAAACATTTGGTTCTTTAAGCATTACTATTCAGCATGTTGCAACTACCCACTTAGGACTGCACATTATGAACCTTTCATTAGAAACAAAATGACTTAATTTGATGAAAATACTTGGGTCTCATAGTACATTGTGTTACATTACCGATAACTATCAAGCAAGTCACATTACTGATTAAGTGAGATCTTAATGCAGGCAGCACCATCTAGTGTTCAGTGAAGATTCAAGCTGAGCTGCAAAGGCAGAAGCCATACAATGTCATAGGCAAAGAATGAAAGTGAATTTTCATGGTGCTAGAATTTGTGGAAAACGAAAGCACATATTGCCTGATACCAAAAAGTATACACTTAACAAGCCAATATTAAAAAGTTAAGCGATCATAGCGCCAATTAGCAACTGCTGTTATCAAGTCAAGCCATTTCATCATATGAACGCTTCTAACATACTTGCTTTGTTTCAACAGCTTGCAACCCATATTTTCACCAAGCTAGGGCTCTTCCGCACTGGAGTGGGTGGAATGCAGGTGGTGCTGTGGTCCAAACCATGAAGCCTCTTGGGCTTGCCAATCAGAAGGTCAGTGGTTCGAATCCACAGGGTGAGCTCCCGTTGCTCGGTCCCAGCTCCTGCCAACCTAGCAGTTCAAAAGCATGCCAAAAAGTGCAAGTAGATAAATAGGTACCACTCTGGCAGGAAGGTAAACGGTGTTTCCGTGTGCTGCTCTGGTTTCGGTGTTCTGTTGCGCCAGAAGTGGCTTAATCATGCTGGCCACATGACCCAGCAAAACTGTCTGCGGACAAATGCCGGCTCCCTCAGCTTGTAAAGCAAGATGAGTGCCACAACCCCAGAGACATCTGTGGCTGGACTTAACTGTCAGGGGTCCTTTACCTTTACCTTTTTTAGTCACATAACACCCTCTTGGCAGCCTGCACGCACGCACACACACTAAATTTGTTTTAATAATTCAAAATAAAATTACATGTTTTCTGACTGTGGATGCACTGAGTGTGGGTTTTACATGTGTGGTGACTTTTCTCTAGTGTCATCTTTTCCCATACCACCCACTTCCTTCACCCCAAGAGAAAGGATGGCGCCTGCCCTTTTCCACCAGCTGTTGCTGAAGGCACATTCACAGCATTGGGATTTCATAAATAGTTCTTTTGCACAGAACTGCTCTTGCATGAGACCAGCTGTATGAAAAATTAGAACTCCTTTGCAACTATAGAAGATAGGAAATGAAAAGGGGAAGAAAGGAAGTGGCAGCATTTCATGCTAGCAACTCCAAATATTTGCCTGAAGTGAGGCCATCATCTTTTTGTGCAAATATGGTATTAGAAAACTTTTTAAAAGGTGCATTCAGAGAAATCAACTGATACCTACACACATACCCACACTGGACTTTAGGCCCCCTGGTTTTGAGCAACACACTCCACCCACCCCCCTTTTTGTGAAATTCTGGTATATTAGAAAACTTGTATTTAAAAAAGAAATAAAACAAAGGAACACACACAGCTAAACAAATACCTGTGTGCAAACTCATAACAGACTTCAGGATTCCAGCACTTACGGTGAAGGAGGAAGTCTTAGCACAAATATCCCATCAAGCACACCCCAGTAGTGTGGATGGGATACATTGAGAAAGATTCTGGAAGTATAAAATTGAAAGTGTTAATGTGTGGATGAAGGTGCACAAAGCACATGTGGAAACAGGGACTCGTATACAGATGAATGACCAGATGTGGACACAGTGCTAATGTAACTGTGGGTGATGAGACAATGACAGTTTCTTTGACTCTGGGGTCCACCTCCCCACTAAGATTTGCATAGGTTTATAATCAGCAACTTAGAACTCTTCCTCAAAAGGTTACCATTATTGAAGCATACACACTTCATGCATGTAGGCCACTCAAGTCTTTGGAATAGCATGGTGTAAACAGAAAATACTTAGTGCAATCCTGTCTCATTTGTACCAGATACTGTCAATGGTAACCAAGCAAATAATGCAGCAATAATGAGACACATGTTAAATGGGAAAAGTGCTTATAAACACATACATACAAAAAAACCCAAACAGATTTATTTCTTTAAAAAGATCAGCGGCCACAAGCGCAACTAAAATTGTTATATCCACTGATTTGAAACATAACGACACCTGCACTTAAGTTATTTCAGAAAAAAACCCTTATATCAACTTATATGCCAAATGATCTTACGCCTTCACAACAATCAGGTTTGGATGGTCTTTCAGAATTAAGGGCAGAATCTTAATGTTTAAGGGTATCAGAAGACAGTGTCCAGAGGTCCAACATTTTCTAAACGATGACCATTTTTTTCATGGTTTCAGCCAACCCTCAGTGGAGGAGCTACAAGTACAACTCCATCTCCTCGGACAAACAGCATCGGAATATTCCTTTTGGTAGACTGTGGATGAAAAAAAGCAGTACAGGCTACATCCAGTGAGAATGTAAAAATAGTTGCAAAGATTAGCATAATTATTATAAATTCATATGGTACAAGAATCACATTTTGGGGAAATAAATCTATATTTAAGTGTCCTACTTTTACAATGAAGTAATCACTATGGTTACTAAATGCTTTAGATTTTACTCTGGTTAAAATTTACTTAATGTTATAAGTCAAGTTGGTATACTGATCTCGTAAGCAAAAAATATTTAAATTCATCTAGACAACATTGCACATCTGAAAGAGCATTTGGAGCTTTAAGTATTAACAAGTTCTTACTTTATAAATCTCTTCATAGGTTTCTTCATCAATTTCTATTGTTGTCACAGTCTCCTCAACATCACCCAAAATCATATTTAAGTGCTGGTCATAAGCCTGTGGAAATGATAGTAGTTTAGATAAGTTTAATTATTGTGCTAGTGGCAGTATATTTTTTAAACATTGTAGCTCAAATACACAGATCTAAAAACTTCTGCTACAAGTATTTTGGATTATATCTAATGTTAAACCTACTCAGAAATTAATGAACATTACTAATTTTAATCCATTAATTTCAATGCATCTACTCTGAGTGTAACTTTGTTGGATACAGGCATTTGTTTCTATATGCTTCAATTTGAACAAATATGGAATTGCTTGATCCAACATCTTCATCATGAGATCCTTTCCAAACTATAACAATTTATTCATACAACTGTAACAGCACTGCTCCATTCTTATATTTACTTATACATTGTTTCATAAATATACCATTTAAGTCAGTAGCCTCTTCAAATAAACACTGACCACAGACAAGGGAAAGCAAGAAGCAAGAAAAGTAGGCTATAAAGTATATAATAAAACAATAGGTAAAGGTAAAGGTACCCCTGCCTGTACGGGCCAGTCGTGTCCGACTCTAGGGTTGTGCGCCCATCTCACTTAAGAGGCCGGGGGCCAGCGCTGTCTGGAGACACTTCCGGGTCACGTGGCCAGCGTGATGAAGCTGCTCTGGCGAGCCAGCACCAGCGCAGCACACGGAAACGCCGTTTACCTTCCCGCTATAAAGCGGTACCTATTTATCTACTTGCACTTAAGGGTGCTTTCGAACTGCTAGGTGGGCAGGAGCTGGGACCGAAAGACGGGAGCTCACCCCGCCGCGGGGATTCGAACCGCCGACCATGCAATCGGCAAGCCCTAGGCGCTGAGGTTTCACCCACAGCGCCACCCGCGTCCCTAATAAAACAATACTTGATTGCTATACCAAAGATTCTCAAGAAAAGTTGGCAAAAATGAGTAGAGAAAAAGACAGCACAAAATACCATTAAACTAAATATACTAGATGTAAATCACAACAATTTGCTCAATGAATACCATTATCAACTAGATTCCCAACAACACTCATAAAATCTAACACTGGCAGTCATGCTTGCTCTTCACAGAGAACTGCTGGAAAATGCATCATTAGTGTCCTAGCTTCAAATACACATTTTGGAGCCAAGAGTTATTTGAGACCACAGCAACTGAAATGTTTGTTCTTTGGCTAAGATCAAAATCAGATTTCTTTCATGCACGTGCATGTTAAAATTGAGAGTGCAGCAATATCTGGAGAACTCAGGGTTTCCTGTTGCTGCCCAAGAAGTATTTCAAAAGCCAAGGCTGCTTTTACTCTATGAGAACTTTAACTTGTTTTTGAAGTATCTAACTTAACATCTCCCAAAACACATTTTCATGGTTCTGATAACAAGCACCCCTCATTTCTATATAGCTTTACTTACATGTAATCTGCCTCGAAGTTCTCGGTCATTTCTCATTTTTACATAAATTCGTTCATCAAGACTGAGTCTGATGAGATCCAAGGGCTCTTCTACAGTATTTGTGGTTTGTTGCTATAAGAGAAAAGTGTTTGTGTTTTTTTTAATACAGTTGATAAAACGTTGGATACAATTTATTCCAAGGAAAAACTCCACTGAGATTAGTATTTGCTCCGTATTGTTTATTGTTCAATTATTCAACCTTACTGAAATGTCTAAACTCAAGTACAAGAGCAGAGAGAATTAAAAGCTACCTGTTTGCACCTCCTCAAAATGACTGACAAATGAATTGCAAATCCCTCCTAGGCTATTCAGGCTATACAGTAGTTGCTGCAGAGTTAGGAGAATTTAAGGCTATCTGTGAGATATCAGGAAACAGTCAACTAGTTATGATACCCTTTCTAATATCCCGGGCTCACCAGTTTAAACTGTTTCAATAACAAAGAATCAATAACAGATTGTTCGTAGTCACTTTTCTGGGACTAGGTAGCAAGAATAATGTGCATAATGTCCTCACTTGGTGTCTTGACATCTGATAATAAAGTTTTGTTTTGTGGGTGTGTTTTTCATTAAAAAAACACCAACATAATCCAAAGATAGCAGCAAAGTTTAACTATGCATGACAGTGCCAATGAAAACAGCATGAAGGGGAAATGAAGGAAGAATAAAGCAGAGACCCTTTAGACCACAACTTTGTAACTACCAGGAGAGAACCACAAAAACAAGTAATGTTTTGGGGACTTCTTGTTGTTTCTCACTTTTGTTCAACTATGTGGTAAGGGGGTGGGCACAGCAGTAGAGAGAAATAATAATAATAATAATAATAATAATTTATACCCCGCCCCCTCCTGGGTTTCCCAGGAGGGACAGGAGGGCAAAGGTCAACTTTACCGTTATTACGCTCTCAGAAATAAGCGAAATAACAAAAAAAGAGAAGATGAAACGCACAGTCCGGACGTCGCCCTCGCTACTGGGAGCAGAAACCTGCGTCCAACTAGCGACCCACCTCGGCAGGCTAAGCCAGGCCAGAGACCCACCACCTCAGAGCACAACGGCGACACTTCACGGGGTCCCGCCGACCCCTCAAAAGCCACCCTCCCCCGGCAGCAGCATCACCCACCTGGTCCACCTCGTCCGCCATTTTTTCAAAGCCAACTCCAGCCTCTTCTCGCGAGATTTTATGCCCCGCCCGCAGTAATTGACGCAGGCGCGCGCTCACGCACAAGCGACAAGTATAGACTTACTATAGACCTACATGCGGCACTTCAGATTCCGGGTCAACTCAGCACCATTTTATTTATTTTTTTGCTCTCCCCCCCCCGCCATGCCTGCCTCAGAAACAAGCGCGAACAATGCAGTGTAAGGATTTCAGCTTAGCTGTGGTCGGACGGCGAGCGAGCCCCCACCCTCTATTCAAAAGATGGCAGGCAAATAGAGGTGTGTGTATATATATATATATACACACGCCTGTATTTGCCTGCCATCTTTTATATATATAAAAGCTACTAGCAAGACGTTAATAATCTCATGCATTCTGCTTTTTCCTATCTCTACCAGAGCCTTATGTTCCCCACCCCCTCAGACGACGACAGCTGCGCGTGCACACATCTGCCGCAAAGCTCGGAGAAACCCTGCGATTGGCCGCATCTGGAGCGCGTGCTTCCTGATTGCGACGCGGTGGTTATTTGCTTCGCCTTCACATGGAGCTGATTTAGTCAGGTTCGCTCAGGTGTGAGGGAGCCATCGCTGATCAGCAGCAGCAAGCAGAATGGGTGTATCATCTCTCTCAAACACTCAAGGCGAAAGGAAAAGCTGCAGCTCAGTGCACAGCTTTGCATGCAAAAGGTGCCAGGGAGAGCATGTTAGACAAATTCACGGAAGAGGATAGGGCTACGCTGGCCACCGCAGTTGGAGGCAGCAATGCTTCCAAATACCAGTTTCTGGGAACCATAGGAGGGGAGAGTGCGCTTCACGTTGTTGTTGTTGTTATTATTTATTAAATTTGTATACTACCCATTTGTAGTATTTATTAAATTTGTAGTATTATTATTTATTAAATTTGTATACTATCCACCTCAGGGTGGTTCACAGCACAAAAAGACAAAATAACACAAAATGCCTAACGAGAACAAAAACAAACCGAACCAAAAACCTCCCCTACCCACAAACATGTATAAAAGGTAGTACAGTGGTACCTCAGGTTACATACGCTTCAGGTTACACACTCCACTAAGCCAGAAATAGTGCTTCAGGTTAAGAACTTTGCTACAGGATAAGAACAGAAATCGGGCTCCGGTGGCGCGGCAGCAGCAGGAGGCCCTATTAGCTAAAGTGGTGCTTCAGGTTAAGAACAGTTTCAGGTTAAGAACGGACCTCCAGAACGAATTAAGTACTTAACCCGAGGTACCACTGTAACAGAATGTTGTGCTCAGGTTGGGAGTTTTCCACCGTGGTTGGCTGCTGGCCTGATCCAGGAGGGTTGCTGTTAGGTTCTTATCTCCAGATATAGCTGAGAAACCCTGGAGAGCTCTGGCTGCCAGTCAGAGCTAGCTGGACTGGCAATCTGACTCAGTAGTACAGGCAGCGTCCTGTGTGTATAGCTGTCTTAGTGCTTTGCTTCTTTGGTTTTGCTTGACTAAACTGAATGTGTGATCTGGCTTCAGTGAACAGCTCTGAGTTTGAAGCAAGGTGATGTGGTGTTATCAGTGCTCCCCGCCCCCCCTAGAAAAATAGGTGCTGGTATTCACTGTGAAGTTGTTACATACTTTTTAACAACAAAAAAGAGGTGCCGGTACTGCATACCCTTGAGCACCCCCTGAAAAGAAGCACTGGGTGTTATAAATATGACAGCCCATTCACATAAACTAGTCATCCTTGCAGTCTAGTGATGAATATATAAGTGTGTTGTAGGCCCTGAACAGATTTATTTATTTATTTATTTTATATATTTTATTAAGGATTTTCTTGTTTTACAGAAGTGTAGTGCCTCGTATTTTTTTTTTCATGTAACATTTTTACAAATCCGTTTCATTTGTTGAGGCATTAGGGGGAGAAGAAAAAAAAAAGAAAAAAGAAAGGGGGGGTGGAGAGAGGGAAGATGGATAGGGGTGGGGTCGGGTGGCAGTGTTTCTATTATGTTTAATGTATGTAGAGTTTGGTGTCAGCGTTGCTTGTGTTGTTCACTTGTGTTCCTTTGGTGGTGAGAGAGGTTGGGGTTGGCCTAGGGTGTGATTGTTTGCTTGTGATTGGCTGTGGTGATCTTTGTTTTCGTGTGTGAGTGAGGTCGGTGGGTGTTTTGGATCAGGTTAGCCATATTGATTTGTATGCTGTTGGTGGATTATTGTCATTGTCCTGTTGGGCTGTGTATGTGATAAAGGGGAGCCATACCGGGGTGAAGGCGTCTTCTTCTGTTTGTCCCCGTGTCAGTTTCAGTTTATTAGTTAATTTTTCTAGTAGGGCTGTTTCCCATACTATTTGGTACCATTGGTCCATGCCCTGAACAGATTTATGACAGATGCCATCTTCCAGGAAGAACACAAGCATGTCACAGGAGTGTAGGAAACTGCCTTATATTGTGAGACCATTATCTAGCTTTGCATTGTCAACATTCACCAGCAATGGCTGTCCAGCAGTTTTTTTCCAGTCCTACCTGGGATCTTCTACATCCAAAGCAGTTGCTCTGCCGCTCATCACATGTCTTCATGTTGCCTACCACCCTGTGTGGCTTGAAAGCTTGTAAGCACTGGAGGAAACAAAACTAGTGATGTTGCCATGACAGAATTAGCTTCATCTTTGTAAGCTCACCTTACAATTCAATCTCCAGCTTCTTTACTCAGAAATAAGTCCAATGGAACTCAGTGCAGCTTGCTCCCTAGAAAGTGAATTTAGGATTGGGTGGCTACAATCCTACACACACACACACACACTTTCTGAGTAGACATGTATAGGATTGTGTTGTATTTCACAAACTAAAATAAAGGGAGTAAGCTGATGCCACATTTCTTCTCCCAAGCCTGAAATCCATAACGCTGCAATCCTAAGACCACTTACTTGGTCATTCAAACTCAGTGGGACTTATGGTACTTCTGTATAAAATGTATAGACTTGCCAGAGGAGTAGCTGTGTTGCAGGAAAAAAACAAGAGCCTTGTGCCAGGCATAATACATATGCAGTCCTAATCCCTCTTAAGGAGAGTAAGTCCTATTGAATTTAGTAGGGCTTACTTCTGAGTAGACATGGTTAGGATTGTGCTGCTGGACTCCTTGGTGACACAAGACTCCCTGATGTATAGCAGAAGTTCCCATAAAATACAAAATAGAACACACATAAAAGAGGTTGATTTTGGCCATGTACCTTACTATGGATTTGGAGCGTGAGCACTTTGGGCCTGATTTGGGAAAAGGCCACTAAAATTGTATCAGGTTTTATACTAGGTGCGTGTGTGCAGGGGACGGACTTCTCCATAAAGCGCCACAAGTTTCAAACCATGTTCCTTATTTCTGAGAGGTGGCGGGCTGCCCTGTGATCTCAAAGCGCCCGAGAGTCCCATTGCCAAAATCCGTATATTGCAATGCTTATCAGTTGCCCTGTCGCTTGTGAGGAGGGCCAAGCTGTTGAATCCTGAACGGCATCTTCATTTTTTCCCCAAAGGCTGCAAGCTGCACGCCGCTCCGACCCGGCACGGAAGGGACGTCAGGAAGGAGGAGCAACGCAAGCTGCCAGCCCAGCATCGCGCGGGGCCACTTGCGAGAGAAAGGGAGAACAACAGATGCAACAACCCTGCTCTTCGTGTTGTTTTTAAGCCGCCTTCTTCCGCAGATCGTCTTTCCCTCCCTCCCTCCGGCCCTCCTGGCTGTTTTGGCTTTTCTCCTTTGTGTCTCCATCCGCGCCTGCCGGTGGCTTCTCGCGCGCGCCTCTCCCGCTGCTCCTCCAGGCCGATTTGCCGTGGATCAGGATGGCCAAGAAGCGCAAGGGGGTCGTGCAGCTGCCGCGGGTGGGCAAGAAGCTCAAGGGAGAAGTTGTAGCCTCCGCCTCCTCCTCCGGTCCTAAAACGCGGCAGCAGCAGCAAGAGGGTGAGTGGGGGGCGGAGGGATGCAGAATAACCTTAACCGACAGCCTGTTCCTTGACAGCCTTTGCAGCTATAGCTTAACCGTGGCTACTCAGAAGTAAGTCCCATTGAAGTCGACGGGGCTTACTCCCAGGAGTTTGGGTTGCAGCTTTAGAACCATAGTTGGAAGGGACCATGTGAGTCTAGTTCTAGTGCAACCCCCTGCCAGGCAGGAATCCTTTGCCCAAGGTGGGTTTCGAACCCACGACCATGAGATTAAGAGCACCGAGCTTTCCTGAAGCTACCAACAGTTCACTGGGCTTGCTCTCCTTTGCGCCTCGCCCACTCCTGGGTTATGTAAAAATTAACAGTTTTGCACATGCTCTAGCTGGAATTCCATTGTGAGTGGCCAAAGTTCGGCAGCCTGCTTGTGAATCAAACTTCTCATGTTCCTTATACTACCTTATACAACTATGTCACGTGGTTACCAAAAGAGGTTTCCTCCTAGTTGTCTCGTTTAAACACACACACACACATACATGAAGAGGTTACCCTTGTTACCTAAACATGAACATTTTCCTTAGGAACAGCAAAAGTTCCTGATGCATGATCAAGGTGGAGGGGGGTGTATTTTGCATGTTGCATTGCATTATTTGGCATAACGTTGCGATTTTAAATTTGCTAAGCCTGCTTGCCGATCAGAAGGTCGGCGGTTCAAATCCCCATGAGCTCCCGTTGCTTGGTCCCAGCTCCTGCCAACCTAGCAGTTCGAAAGCACGTCAAAGTGCAAGTAGATAAATAGGTACCGCTCCGGCAGGAAGGTAAACGGCGTTTCCGTGTGCTGCTCTGGTTCGCCAGAAGCGGCTTAGTCATGCTGGCCACATGACCCGAAAGCTGTATGTCAGCTACCTCGGCCAATAAAGCAAGATGAGCACCGCAACCCGAGTCATCCATGACTGGACCTAACCAAGTAGTGCATGAGCATTAGAAAGGTGGGATAGAAACTTTTATATAAAGTAAAATAATTCAGTGAAGTTTTTTGCCACAGTCTTAAGATTCTGCTTCTGCAAATAAGCTTGGTGATATCCAGCACTGCCTATCCATTTGCAGAATGGCTTTTAACCCAAGGAGGTATCTGTTAACATAAGGGAAGGGGAGGCAATTCCTCATTTATACTGTAGCCCCCTGTGACACCCCCGTCTGTTCCAGATGTTTGGAGAACCCCCCACATAGTGTGGGAAGCGGCACAGAGACCTACAGCTGAAAATCACCACTCCCCTTGGTTTAATGGACTCCTCTGCTAGATTAAAAATCATTCTGCAAATGGATAGGCAGCTCTGGATATCTCCCCTCCTGTCTTTTTCATAGAATTGTAGAGTTAGAAGGGAGCCCAAGGATCATTTAGTCCAACCCCCTGCAACGCAGGAATACGCAGCTGTCCCATGTTGTTGTATAACAAAGTCGAAATAGCAGCAGCAAAATAATAACAACAGGTTTAAACTTTGGGTTCATGGTGCATCATAGTAGTGTTGATTCAAGATCTAATGGGAGGAAGAAATTATAAAGGTTAATGGAAAAGACTATTGGAACCAGTTTGGGTGTTTAATTCGGATTAAGCTTGCATTCCCATCCCCCACCCTAACAGTTTTTGACCGTCGTCACATTTTCTTTCCATACAGATGATTTTGAAGAGGAAAAACCCAGTCAGAAGAAAAGGTTGCCCAAAACAGCTTCTGGAAAAAAGAAGGAAAAGGAACAGGAGAGGGATATTGTTCAGCCACCCTGCAGAAATTCGAATCAGAAAGGACCAAAGCCCAAAGTGAAGGAGGAAAAGAATAAAGTGGTAGAAAGCAAAGGGTCCTGTAAAAAAAGGGTAAAATGCAGGTAACTCAATGTTTAGGGTTTTCATTGAGAGCTGATTTATTTATTTATTTCCTGAATCCGAACATCCGCTCATGTCATCCTTAGGGCAATGATACGATTGACTTCTTTTGGGGGCTTCCTCTTAGCCTTGTCCTCTGAATCCATAGAAAACCTGATGCTGATGCGTGGGTAAAATGTTTGGTCTTTGTTTGGGTGTGCACGTATTTATTTATATGTAAAATTAAACTACTAGACTTACATCCAAACCACCGCAATGTGAATTAATCCTCTCTCAGTCCTGGTATTTCACCTTAACAGACTTGTGGATGAGATGCTAAAGAGTAGATGCATCTGATCTCTTTCCTACTTTGGAAGTCGAACCAAATCCGTTTCTGAAATCCATTCGAATTCCAAAACGTTCAGAAACCAAAGCGCGGCTTCTGATTGGCTGCAGGAAGCTCCTGCAGCCAATCGGAAGCCGTGGAAGCCCCGTCGGATGTTGGGGTTCCAAAGAACGTTCGCAAACCGGAACAAGTCACTTCTGGGTTTGCTGCGTTTGGGAGCTAAAACGTCAGATTACCAAGGCTTTCAACAACCAAGGTACGACTGTATTGTTCATATTGACGAAGACACACATAGCTTACTGTGGACAGTTTTGTATCTTTGAATCCGCTGTGTAAATTTCAGTGGGAAGGTGAATAGGTGCAGGGATCTTCCTGCAAGGTGAGGTTGGCTCACCTGTGCAGCCTCCTTTGGACTCCAGCTCCTAACAGCCCTAGCCAGTAAAGTTGGTGCCAAGAGATGATGGGAGTTGTGTGGTCCTCCTGATACTGCTCATCAAGAGTTAACCACTTCTGCTGTGAAAGAGGCCTTGTAAAGAGTCAAGGCTTAAACTTCTGTCATGTACTGGGGTGGGGGTGAGGAATTTTGCCTTGTTTTCCCAATTAAATTTGAGCAAATCTACACGAACCTGGAGCATGTGTGTGAGAGAGGAAGAGAAATACAGTTTTCTGGGGCCATCAGATACACATTCTCTAGGAAGTCGGTTTCAGGTGCTCACTTAACTATGCGGGTTGTTTTTCCTTAAACTAGCTAATGTTCAGAAGAAATTCCTGGAGGTACAAGCTGTCTGACAATGGGTTTTCTTCATTGGAAGGGCTTGGACTAATAACCTTTGAAGTCCCCTTCAACTCTGTGGTTGTTTCTTTCCCCACATCCTAGTGGTCTGCAGAACACTCCTCTAAAGAAGGAAACAAACGCAAAAAAAGAATCTCCCGTCACAAAGAGAAAAAGAGATGAAGAAGAAGATGGTGACGATGATGATGAAGATGATGAAAGTGAGGATGAGTGGGAAGATGTGGAAGGTAATACATTTTTTAAAAATTGCTGTGTAAATCTTGGTTCCCTTGGTTATTTTGGTTTATCATTATTTGGACACATTATTGTCATGCCAAAGTCACCCAAGTTTTATCAAAGCTGAATTTTGCTCCCCTGTCAAAGTATCCTCCCAGACTTCCCTACCCTGCATGTTGCTTAAGCTCCAGTGTTGAGAAGTTTCAGAAGCAGCCCTGAGTTAGAATTTAACTGCTCGTCATCTTACTGGACATTATTGGAGACACACTAATTAGACGGGGATGTTTGCTTCCAGAACTTCATCAACCTGAGATAGAGATACTCAAAGAACTTCCTGCCCCGGCGTTGCCCAACAAAACAGTTGAGATAGAAATTGAGACACCCGAGCAGGCGAAGAAAAGAGAGAGAAGGTAAGTTGAGGCCTGTGAGTTTGGTATTAGCAGGCCTTTGTGGCTGATTTGCCCTCTGGAGTTCCTGCACCACTGGGATGAAAAAAGGCTGCCTGGTTGAAGACCTTCTTCTACTGAGGGCCTTGCTTAAGACATTTCCATCTCCGGAACTTGGGTGGGTGGCAGGGCCTTTTCCATTGTGGCACCGGGACTTTAGGGGTGAATTCAGCAAAGTCACTGTGCGAGCCGAATGACTTCGGCGCATGCAACACAGCTTCCACTCCCTTTTCTCCTCTTGCTGCCCCTGACTTCATCCTCAGATCTATTCTGATGGGTTGGGGGAAAGTCCAGAGCAGATTTTGCAGGGTAGGGGGAATTCAGGGGTTGCAGGAGATGTTAGGTTGCGCAAGCAGAAATTGCTCCGACCCTTAAGCTATCTTCATCAGGTGCCTTTTAGATGTGAAGTAAAAATGCTTCTGCTTGCTAAGCTTTTGGTAGCTCTTGGTTGGCATTTCGTTTGTGGTTTGTGTGTGTGTGTTGGGCAGCTAAATCCACTTCTTTTTACAGTGCTTACAAGAAAACAAGAATTAAAAACGTAATAGGCTGTTCTCTTATATTGGTTTGGCAGCCTAAATTGGTTAGAAAGGCAGAATATAAATACAGGAAATAAATTCACACAACCAGTAGCACACACAAACCCAGTTATGCCTGAGCAGGAAATAGCATAGCATGCAGGAGACATGAAGCTTCTCTTGACAGCCCCTGCCTACTCCATTCCCTGGCCTTCCCTTTGTCAGTGTCCCCAATTGCATGGAGAGTTCTACTCGCACTCAGGCAAATGCGAGTAAAATCCCCCTTTGAACCTTCCCCACTCAACAGAAGGTCAGGAACAGAGAAGGTAGGAGTGACAGGGCTAGCAGGCAGCACCCCGTTTCTCCTCCACGAGGGGAAATTTCCTGTTCAGGTAGAATCCCTCAACAGAGCTATAGTGTATGTAGCCTCATGCACACAGTAGCATATGAATGCGCTGTTTTGTTTTCTGGCTTCAGGTTCCTGCTCAGAAGCTGGAAAGTTAGGGCTTGAGAACATCACTGCATGGCACTCACCCTTTGGTTTGTTTTGGTCATCTTGCAGAGAGAAAAGGCAGGTTGAGTTTGAGACGTATCTGCGGAGAATGATGAAGCGCTTCAACAAGGGAGTTCATGAAGACACACACAAGGTAATATGCCTGAATAGTAATGTGTTGGAAGAAGGCAGACACTGCAGGGCTCAAGAGTTCTCCTTCCATTCTGTTACCTTGTTCTGGTACTTGTCAGAAGAGTTTATTGGGAATCCTGGCACGTTAGTATTTCCAAATAGTAATTCAGCGTGTTGTTACAAGGACAAGAGCAATATTGACACCCCAAGTCATTCTAGGAGAGCAGGGATGTAGTTGGTTTAGAATACAGCAAATAGGCTTGTGCATCCCCATAAACCATAGCTCATGGTTTACCATGAACATACAGATGGCTTCTACTTTGCCACTTCCCTGCTTCCCAAGCAGGAGCAACAAATGGCGGCCCCTGGCTTAATGTTACATCTGAACCAGGAATCGTGGATAGTTTTACTTCAAACAACCGACAATGCGAAGTCAAACCAAGACCCCAGTTCGGATATAACACTAAACCGGGATCAGGGTTTGTTACTGTAGAGAAGCAAAGTCAGAGTGATCTCCGCAATCACCGTAAACTATTAACTATGGTTTACTACGACATATGAATACAGCTAATGTTGCTCAAAGAACCAATTTCCCCTCTACATACAATGGTTGAAATCTTGGTACAGCTGTCGTCTGACTGGGCTTAAACTTGCCTATTTATGTTTGTTTAAAAACGGTTCTGTGCAGATTTTCCTTCACCCAAAGTAGCATGCAAACAACAGATACATATTTAAAAACCACAACCTAAATGCAAATGAGCGCATTTGAACCATAAGCTGAACAGTTTTTTTTAAAAACTATACCGGTGCAGTCACATAAAAAAGAAAAGAAACCACAGGCTGCTGATAAATTTAGCAAGCAGACACCAGATGAGGCAGATGGGGTTTGTAAATCTTATAAAAGGCAGAGACGGAAGAACTTCTTCTGGCCTCAGCCATGAGGTTGTTCCATGTCTGGGGCATTAGTCCAACTGGTGCATCAGGACTCACTACCAGGTTGCAGCCTGATCTAAAGTGGATTGAAACAGCAGCACTACCACCACCAGACAAACAGGCCGAAAAGATGAAGAAATGGGTCCCTGGATGCATGTTTGGATTAAATGTGTGTTCCGGATCTGAAAAGGACAACTGGTCACAGAAAAGTCCCACAGCCCGTTTTCTGCCCTCGAAAAGTGAAGGTAACCCTAGCAATGCTCAAATGTGGGAGCTTAAAAAACAAACAAAAAACAACAACTTATTTTAAATATGTGAGCCCCACTAGTAACTGAAGTTCTCTAGGCCAGCTGACATTATATTCAAAATACAGTAAAAGAGATGACCAGGATGTTGCCCTCACTGGGCAAGGCTTCCTCACCCAGGCAGCTGATGCTTCTGGAAGCTTCCGTCTCCTGGCAGAAGGTGCCAGAGAACTTTGGGTTAGAATGGAGGGTCTGCATTCTTTATAAGTCTCTCTCTGCACTTCCACTCTTCAAATGTTCCAAACTGGCAGGCCGCTCCTGAATTTCTTGGCCGCAGCAGATCTCAGAGGAAACAGCCTGTCCCCCCACGTTCAGAGTTGCTCACAGAGAGGCGCTTCCTCACACAGGCTGCTGCCAATAACCTTTCCTGGCTCCCTAGTGGCAGACTTGTGTGTATTGGTCAGTGCTAGGCCTGTCTTTTGAGGCATGGAAACAAAACCAGGGAGCCTTATGTAGCATGACTATCCATTGCCACTTCTCTCTCCTGGGAGCTGCTTCCTTCTCCCAACAGGTCCACCTACTGTGCCTGCTAGCCAATGGCTTCCATAGAAACAGGATCTGCTCTCAGCCGGACCTCCAGGCGATTGGCCTCTCTATCATCCCCACTCATTTTACTAAAGTGCCTGCGGGCCGCGTAGACCGCCTATTCCTGTCAAATCTTGTGAAGTGGTAAGGGGCTTCTCTCTCTTAATCCAGGTTTGTTTTGTTTTGTTTTGATGGCGTTGTGCTTTTACATGTGATATAGAGTGGGAAGGGTCCCTGAAGGACATCCATCCCAACCCCTTGCGCTCATGTCAGCTGCAGTTACAGCAGTCCTGACACATGGTTGTCCGCCTCTGTGTAAATCACCCAAGTCACCACCACCCAAGTCTCTTACCATTAGTAATAATAATAATAATTTATACTTCACTCATCTGGCTGGGTTTCCCCAGGCACTCTGGGTGGCTCCCAACAGAATATTAAAAACACAATAAAACATCAAACATTAAAAATTCCCCTAAACAGGGCTGCCTTCAGATGTCTTCTAAAAGTCAGAAAGTAGTTTATTTCCTTGACATCTGATGGGAGGGCGTTCCACAGGACAGGCGCCACTACTGAAAAGGGCCTCTGCCTGGTTCCCTGTAATCTCACTTCTTGCAGGGAGGGAACCACCAGAAGGCCCTCGGCGCTGGACCTCAGTGTCCAGGCTGAACGATGGGGGTGGAGACGCTCCTTCGGGTATACTGGGCCGAGACCGTTTAGGGCTTTAAAGGTCAGCACCTACACTTTGCATTGTACTCAGAAACATACTGGGATCCAATGTAGGTCTTTGAGGACCGGTATTATATGGTCTCGGCAGCCACTCCCAGTCACCAGTCTAGCTGCCGCATTCTGGATTAATTGTAGTTTCCAGGTCACCTTCAAAGGTAGCCCCATGTAGAGCGCATTGCAGTAGTCCAAGCGGGAGATAGCCAGAGCATGCACCACTCTGGCAAGACAGTCTGTGGGCAGGTAGGGTCTCAGCCTGCATACCAGATAGAGCTGATAAACAGCTGCCCTGGAGACAGAATTGACCTGCGCCTCCATGGACAGCTGTGAATCCAGAATGACTCCCAGGCTGCGCACTTGGTCCTTCAGGAGCACAGTTATCCCATTCAGGACCAGGGAGTCCCTGCGATGTCCATCCATTGGTCCTGATCCTGCCTTCTGCTTCACTTTCCGGGTGTGACAGCCCTTCAGAGACTTGAAGGTTGTTTGTGGGGGTGAGCTATTAAGGCGTTATTAGCCAGGCAAGTAGAAAAAATATATTGTTTCCTTCTTCAAGGTTTGTTGCGACATTCACTGTCAATGGGGAGCTCTCTGATAGCGAAGAAAGTTGGCAGTCCACCCTAGAGAGGCGTTTTGCTGTGTATGCTGCACGAGATGAGGAGGAATTGGTTCATGTAAGTGACAAGGTGTTTGGGGGCATGTCAGACTGCTCTCCTAGTAACTGTGCTGGGGGAAGCGTGAAGCCAATCAGTGGCCCCTTGGAAAAGGGATGCAGCTTTGTAGTAGCTTTCTTGCATGCAGATGCTCCAAAGTTCAGTCTCCAGGTAGGGTTGGGAGAGGAATTTGTGAATGCATATACCCCCCCCATGAAGTAGAGGGGAGTCCCTCCCCTTAGTGGAATGGGTATCTCCATGTTTGACGAGCTTCCATCACCCTCAAGATACACTCTTATTTATTCACCCAGGCTTGTGATGGATCTGGTTAGCTGTGCAGATCTGTGGATTTTTACGTTTTAACGCTAACCAATTATGTAAATTTCACGATGCTTTGATATTACAGGATGATTTGCTGCATTTTTTTCCAATGTTGTCATTTATATGGGCATTGTTAAATTTTGATGTTGTGGTTTTGGAAACTGCTTTGTGATTGATACACAAATACTCGAGTAAAAACAAGAAATGTGCAACCTGTTACTTCCTCCGTCATTCATTCGCATGCGTGGAGAGCCCTCTGCTTTCCTAGTTAACTTACCACTCAGGGTACATTGGTAGAGAAGCTACGTCGACCCCCAATGGGCATAGGGGGCTTCGGCAACCCTCACAGTACATGGAGAGGAGGTCAAAGTCTCCAGTATGCCAATCTGCTGTGCGGAAAGGCTGTTCTGGATCACTTTTAGACTAGAAATTTGTTACAAAGTCCTGTGGGTTAAAATCCTCTGGTTAAAAACAAAGTGGGGTGGAGGGTGGGTGGGAGGGAAAACCTCCATTCACATAACTCCAAATCCAAACTAACGAACAATAATATTTTTCATTTTTTCAAATAGATATTTTTACTCATTCTGCGAGCGTTGCAGCTACTTTGCCGCCTTGTGTTGTCTCTGCAGCCGATTCCTCTGAAAGTGTCGGCGGGAAAGGTTGGTGTGTTTCCAGGAGGGCTCTCAGTGAGAAAAACATGCATAGGATGACTCTGTAAAGCAGCAGTTCTCAAATAAATGGGTTAACCCAGGCTTCCTCAACCTCGGAGACTACAATTCCCATCATCCCTGACCACTGGTCCTGCTAGCTAGGGATCATGGGAGTTGTAGGCCAAAAACAGCTGGAGGGCCGAGGTTGAGGAAGCCTGGGTTAACCCAAGCATTCCAGAGAGCTGAAATACTTGCACAATATGACTTTTTCCTATGCTAATTAGCGTAACTGTTTAATGGACAAGAGGTGCAAACATCAGAGTGTTCACTTTTAAGATCACTTGTTTATCTCCCTCACAGCATGTTGGAAGTACAGTGGTACCTTGGTTCTCAAACGCCTTGGCACTCAAACAACTTGGAACCCAAACACTGCAAACCCAGAAGTAAGTGTTCCGGTTTGCGAACTTTTTTCCAGAAGCCAAACATGCTCTGTTTTGAGTGCCACATTTCCATTTTGAGTGTTACGCTGAGGTCTGTCTGTTTTTGCTATTTATTTTGCGTTTTTGTTTTTGCGACTCTTTTTGTTTTGTTTTTGTGACTATGTGGAACCCAGTTCAGCTACTGATTGATTGATTCTGTGACTGCAGTACATTGTTTATTGCTTTCATTTTATGAACCAATGGTCTCGTTTGATAGTAAAATTCATGTTAAATTGCTGTTTTAGGGGTTGTTTTTAAAAGTCTGGAATGGATTAATCCATTTTGCATTACTTTCTATGGGAAAGCGCGCTTTGGTTTTGGAATGCTTTGGTTTTGGAAAGGACTTCCGGAACGGATTAAGTTTGAGAAGCAAGGTACCACTGTAGTACAAAAACACATTCTGGAAATGCAGGTCTAGTTTATGTGTTTGCTCTGTGTATGCTCCTCAAACAGAATAGAGATCATGATGTTACGAGCTTGCCCACAAGAGACCCAGTGTGGTGTAGTGGTTAGAGTGTCTGACTAGGATTTGGGAGACTTGGGTTCGAATCCCCACGCAGCCATGAAGCTCAACCAGCCCTCAGCTTAACCTACCTCAGACGGTTGTTCTGTGGATAAAAGGTGGGAGAAGGCCCAGGCATGCTACCTTGAGTTCATTGCAGGAAAGGTAGGAAATGAGCATAGTGAATAAGTAAGAGGCCTATTGAACAGAGGAGGTGCCTCTGTACACACATATATTTGCTCAGAACTGTCTCCAGTAAGGTACATGGCAAAATCTACAGCTTAGTATCTCCATAGTAGACTATGTAGGGCTGTGGGCTCATCTCTTCCATAGGGCAAATTCTACAGGTCTGCTAATTCAGAGCAAAGCAGCTCTCTTTTACCAACTAATATATTGAGACCAAAACTATTGGATCACTGCAGAGTGTTTGTCTCACCTGCCTTGTCTTTTGATGGCCCATCGTCCTCTTCTTTCATTTCCCCCCCAGGGAAAGACCAGCTCCTCCAAGAAGCGCTCTCTCAGTGCAGTTTCCGAGGAATCAGGTGGCTCTGCCAAAAAGCCTAAACGTGCCTCGAAAAAATGTGCAGGGCCTGGTAAGGTCAAGCTAGAGGCAGGCCAAGAGAAGGTCCTGTCAGGGAGCCAGGAAGCTGACAGGAAATCATCCCCAACAGGAGCCAAAAGGACAGTAAATAAACCTACTGCACGCAGGAGTGCTGAGGAAGAAAAGGAACCTAGTGTGAGCAACCTGAGGGAAAAGGGAGGGATGGGGAGGACCAAAAACGACCGCCTACGAAAAGTGGCCTCAAAAGTGTCATATAAAGAGGAGAGTGGAAGCGACGACGGCAGGGATTCTGAATTCCATGCTTCAGAGGAAGACGAGGATGAAAGTAGCATCTCTGATGAGGACTTCGAAACTCCCAAGAGGAAACAGAGGTCATCACTAGGGACCCCGAAAGCAAAAGCAGCTCTTAACAACAGGCGGAAGTCTGGGCCTGCAGTTCTGAATGTACCCAAGAACTCTCAGACGGTTGAGAGTTCGCTGGGGAAAGCGGCTACCCCAGGCTCTTCAAACCCCTCAAAGAAAAGGAACAAAATAATTTCTAGCGATGAGGATGAAGGAGGCGATGTGGGACCAGGTAAACAGAGAGGCACTGACCAGTGGCTGGAGGTTTTTCTCGAACGGGAGGACAAGTGGGTCAGCGTGGACTGCGTCCACGGCACCGTTGGGCAGCCTCTGCTGTGCTTCAGACACGCCACCAAGCCCGTGTGCTACATCATCGGCATTGATAACGACGGGTGCGTCAAGGACGTGACACAAAGATATGACCCGGCGTGGATGACGTCTACAAGGAAGTGTCGCGTGGATTCCGAGTGGTGGGAGGACACTTTGGAACCGTACAGAAGCCCTTTTGTGGAGCGAGAGAAGAAGGAAGAAAGGGAGGTAACAGAAGGGAGCTGGCGGGTTTCCTCCTCCATGAACAAAACTATGTCCTGGTTGACTAAGAGGTCCTCCACCCTCTCTTGCTACTTCTGATACCTGGTCTGTGTAAACATGGTGGGTGTAGAAATACATGGGAAGATGAGTCTATGAGTCAAGTGCCTTTGGGTTTCATTAAATGGCACAAGCTTGGCCTTCGGGAGGAGGGAGAAGGAAATGGAGGCTACAGGTGTGGCAGGGTTATCAAGCTAGTACCAACGTAATTCAGCAATGTGAGGGTGCGAACAGGATTTTAGGCCTAGGCTGGTCATAGCAATCTAGAGCCATGGCAGGGTATGTGATGATTTCATCTGTCTTAATGAGCAGACAGTCGTTTAGGGTGAGATTCCTCTAACAATGCCCCTTCCGCTTGTGCTTGCAGCAGGGCTTCTGGAATTCTCTGCTTGCTTGAAGAGCGCCTGAGAGCTGGCTCTCACAAACAAAGGATATCAGAAGAGCACTGCTGGGTCAGACCAAAAGCCTCTTCGAGTCCAGCGTTATTTATAATTCCGTCAATTTCTTTCCATTTATGAACTGCTTCCTATAAGACATCACAAAGCAATTTAACAACGAAAGCACTTTAAATCATTTTGTGTATACAGTCATTCCTCATGTTGCGTCCGCTTCAGGTTACGTGTTTTCGTGTTGCATCCCGCGGCGACTTGGAAGTACCGGAACTGGTTACTTCTGGGTTTTGCTGCTCGCGCATGCACAGAAGCACTAAATCACGCCGCACGTGTGCGCAGACACAGCACTTCAGCTTGCGTCAGTTCTGTGTTATGGATGGGCCTCTGGAATGGATCCCATCCGTAACACGAGGTTCCACTGTAACAAGGTTTCCCAAACTTGGGTCTCCAGAAGTTTTGGGGGTTTTTTGGACTACAATTCCCATCGTCCCTGATCACTGGTCCTGCTAGCTAGGGATGATGGGAGATATAGTCTTAAAAAAGCACCTGGAGACCCAAGTTTGGGTAACCCTGGTGTATAAGAACAGTTTCACATCCAATAGGGATAACAGCTTTCTGTTCATCCAGTGATGAACCAGATGATGCCTTTGGAAAGCCTATAGGTGCCACAGCCCTTTCTGGCTCATGTTCCCCAGTAACTGATACTGCCTCTGATACGGGAGGTGTACACAGCTGTCATGCCTAGTAGTCATTGAGTCAGCTTGTCCTCCATGAATTTGTTTTTTAAAACCTGTACAAGTTGGTGGCCGCTGTGACAACTATCTCATGGATCTTCTGCTTATCCTTAGTGGGTCTGTTGCGTATTCATTCATCAGTCGATGACTCCCAGCTGAGTGTATGAACGGACTCTATTAATAAAAGTATTCCATCTGGAGGACGTGGTTTGGTTGATACAGAAGTTTCGTCAGTGTTGTTAGAGCAGGGATGAGTCCCTTATGACCCCTGGATCAAGTAATCCTATGAAAGCTGGCCCTGATACTGTCTTTATGTTTGTCCTCCAAATAATTGAAGAATCTGCTTGTGCAGCGTAAACTCTGAAGTCAACCACTTATGTCATGTCTCCCAGTTTCTAGTTAAACTTCAAGACCAGCCCCTGCCAACAGCCATTGGCGAATACAAGAACCACCCGCTTTATGCCTTGAAGAGGCATCTCCTTAAATACGAAGCCATCTACCCGGAGACAGCTGCTATACTAGGGTATTGCCGTGGGGAGGCTGTGTATTCCAGGTGAGAGTCATCTGCCAGGTGTGTATGGCGTGAAATGTGACTTCATGTGGCTACATTGCTCTGTGGTCAGATATCAGATTTCACATTGCCAGTACTTTTGTTCACCTTTCTTTTTAAAAAACAAAACAAACCAGGGTCCACAGACAGACAAGGGGTTAGGATTAGACCTAGCAGAAGTTGATTGGCTTGGCAGCTGCTGGCCAAGATTTGTTTCTGAGTTCTGAATTCAGGTTCCTGAGCGTCCCTGGTTTACAGTATTTTCTTTCTTTTTTAAGGAAAAAGCACATTTTCTCACCCTTGTGACTTGATGGAGTTGCACATGTATAGGCAATTCCTGATGAACTCCAGGGGTGGGGGAATCTGTTGGTTGGAAGTTGGGGCTTTTTGTAACCCACATAGCTTGTTTTCCCTCCCATGACTCACAGAAATCAAATCATGCAAAACTGTTTGATCTGTGCAAATGTACTCGGTTTTAGTGGTTGCAGAATATGGGTTGTATTGGCAGAGAAACGCCCAATATACTTAAAAAGAAAAATGTATGTGTGTGCTCACATTGAGAATATTTGAGGGTACAGTTCATTTGGACTTTTTCAGAGACTGTATCCATACGCTGCACTCCAAAGACACCTGGCTGAAGCAAGCTCGAGTGGTCAGGATTGGCGAGGTGCCTTATAAGGTAAGATGACAGCAGATCCACTCCGAGGCTGCAGTTGGGCACCTATAGCTCAGTAGCAGAATGAGAGATGCATGCACAAGCCCTTATGAGCTGAAGAATAGAACAGGCCTGCTGGATCAAACCAAAGGATGGAGAACCTGCCGCCCTCCAAAGATGGTTGGACTACAATTCCAGTTAGCCCCAATTAGCATGGCCTGTGGCCAGGGATGATGGAAGTTGTAGTCTAAACCTAAGATTCCCCATCCCTGGCCTATTAACCAGTCACAGTGGCCAGCCCATGGGAAGCCCACATGCAAGACTTGGGAACCAATGGCTCTCTCTTACTTTGGTTCCCCAGGAACTTGTTTTCAGAGCCATGCTGTCTCCAATCCTGGAGTTACCGTATAACCATCGTAATTATTAGCCCCATCTCATTTGTATCCAATTAAAGCTAAGGACAGGGGATTTTTTTTTTTACTCAGAGTAGACCCATTGAAATGAATGGACCTGCATTGGTTATGGTCATTAATTTTAATGGGTCTAACACTGAGTAAAAGCTAGTTGCAAACAACCCAAAGTAACCAGGTTGGGAAAGACTTGTATTTGGGAGACCCTGGAGAGATGAATTCTGGATTGCCATTGCTATGAATCAATAGAGTGCAGCCGTTCTGCAGCCTTGCAGTTTGGTGGTGGCCTGGGATGTTGCTGCAAGGAAACAGTGAGAGAGCATTCGCGAGCAGCTTGTGTATCTTCTTTTCATGCTTCTGTGTGACATCAGAAGTGACAGCGGGTGCTTCTCCCTTCTAGTGAGAGAGTGAGCTTCAGGGGCATACACAAACCTCAGTTTGAGGGGGGATGATTAGGTTGACACTGTGAACTTTACAGGCAAGAAGTGGGAACAGATGAGAATATTGGTCTCGTGTTTGTGTTTGCACAGATGGTTATAGGCTACTCCAACCAAGCAAGAAAAGCACGAATGGCAGAACCGGCAAACAGAGACAAAAAGGACTTGCCGCTGTTTGGCCTCTGGCAGACGGAGGAATACCAGCCTCCTGTTGCCGTGGATGGAAGGGTAAGCTGGAGGAGAGATCACACGATCACCCTGGGAGTGGCTCGGGTGGTGATTGCACAAGATGAGGCCTTTTCAGAGGTGGCCCAAGACCCTGGAGCTTCCTCCCTGGGAGAATTTGATTCCCCCCTCATTGCTGATCTTATTTAGTCATCCAGATCTTTGGGAATTAAGTTCCTGGGGACCTAACCATTGTAGATATTAGACTGCAGTTTTTGAAGTTTTTGTGTTTTTAGATTTTTAATGGTGCTGTGAAATACTTTGTGATGATGGCTTTCTCTGTATTGCGTACTATTCTAGGCTTCTAGTTTGGGGCGGGGGGAAAGTTGTACAAAATGAAATGAATTTCACATTAATGAAAATGAAGAATAAAGGTAAATTGAGTGGGTACTTTGGTAAAGCTAAATCTTTCTCTTCTGGGTTGTATAATTTAACTGAAAGTTTTGCGTTACAGCTCACGTTCTTGTAAAACACACTCACCCTTGTCATGTATCTACTGTTTCGCATTTTAATTGGTACTCGTCCTGTGCTTGGCACTTTAGCAAGAACTAATTTCTGCATAAAAGTATTAACATAATTGTGTTTTTCTTCCTCTCTCCCCACTTCCTTTTCTTTGTCCCTGTTTTGTTTTCAGGTTCCCCGGAATGAATTTGGGAATGTGTATCTCTTCCAACCCGGCATGTTGCCCATAGGCTGTGTGCAGCTAAAGCTTCCCAACCTCCATAGAGTGGCGCGTAAATTGGATATTGACTGTGTCCCAGCTGTTACTGGATTTGATTTTCATGGTGGCTACTCACACGCAGTGTACGTCCCACTACTATTCACTTTAATCAGGCTTGGGGTGGCCTTCATCACTTGTTCTTGACATCTGGTTTGCCAGCGGACAATATGCCCTGGATCTCTTCATCCTACACGGCTTACCTGCAGTAATCGTAGCATTGGCTCAAATGTAGCTGTCACCTTGCTATGTCCTTAGCACAAGGGGAGCTGAGCACCTGTTTCTCTTTGTGCTGCCTTCCTTTGTGTTTGCGTCTTTTGTCTTTGAACCCATGCTGTGCAGACAATAGGAAATGGCTTAAGTTAAATCAGTGGTCCCTAAACTTTTTTGGACCACTGTCCCCTTGGCTCCATAAATTCACCTCCCCTGCCCTATGAAAAACTTTATTCAGAATAGCAGTTTCCACAACCCGCTAAGGAAGGCAATAGCACATTTATTCAAAATCCAGTTTAATCTGTTTTGTTCAACAAAATTGACAAACTTGATCCAGTGATGACCAGCTTTTCAAAGTTTGGTAGGACATCTCCAGTGCTTCCCTGCTTGGGAGCCACTGAGCTAAATGATTAAATACTTTTCCATAGAGGAAACTAGTGAAGTTTATTTATTTGAAGTTCCATAGCTCGGTGTTGGTCCTGCCAACCTAGCAGTTCCAAAGCATGTCAAAGTGCAAGTAGATAAATAGGTACCACTCCGGTGGGAAGGTAAACTGTGTTTCCGTGCGCTGCTCTGGTTCACCAGAAGCGGCTTAGTCATGCTGGCCACATGACCTGGAAAACCTCTCTGTGGACAAATGCTGGCTCCCTCGGCCAGTAAAGCGAGATGAGAGCCACAACCCCAGAGTCGTTCAAGACTGGACTTAACTGTTATGGGTCCTTTACCTTTACCTCGGTGGTGGAGTTTTTGATTTGCATGCAGGAGTTCCCTGGATCAGTTTCTGGCATGTCCCGGTAGAGCTGGGAGAAAAACCCTTGTATGAGACCCTGGAGAGCTGCTACCAGTTACTGAGCTAATGGTCTGACTCAGCACACGGCACCTTCCTCTGTTCCTATTTATTATCATTCTTGTGTCTCACCTTTCAGCCCCTCACGGGATCCCAGGTATTTTCTAACCATTTCCCCCTGTCACTTTGAAAGTGCTGATATAATGGAGCTCATCAACACTCAAGACAGCATCCAATTGGCTATTTGTCTTCCTAGGATCATTTTAAACTTCCCCAGCTCAGTGCACAAATGACAAGTTCTCGTCATCTTTTTCTTCGCCAGCACCGAAGGTTATGTGATCTGCGAAGAGTACAAAGAAGTGCTTGTTGCAGCGTGGGAGAACGAAGAAGCTGAGAGAGAGAAGAAGGAAAAGGAGGTGAGAATCACTCTGAGAGTTGGAGCAGCAGGAACTGACACTGCCAGAAATTGGTAGCGTTACAGATCTAATTAAATAGCTGCTGATAGTTTCCACAGTGTCTTATAGCACCTCCTATCTCGATAGGTGATAGCCGGAAACGACAAATGTTTAAGGATCTATTGCACAAATGGAGTTCCTATTGAACTTCTCCATTAGTGTCATTGTTAGGGAGCACTCGGCATATGCAATCATTCCTTCAGTTTCTGATAATCAGGTGTGGCTGCCAGGGCTTATGTTGCCAAGACTAATTCTTCCATGCACAAGAGGTGGGTTATCAGTGGGCTTGCAGGAATCCCAAAATTTGCAGCATTTCTTTAAAAAAAACCCTAAAGGGTAGGAACCCCCAAAACAACTAAAGGAGGACTGAGCATGGCCAGTGACTATGAAATGCTCACTTGCATTTTAGCATCTGCTTAATCTGATACTTAGCCTTAGTTTACATTTGATGTTCTCATTTTCATATGATTGCATTGGTGTCGATGCTTATTTTTCTCTCTCTTGCTAATCAGCTGCATTATTTTGAGTTGCTTGTATTCTGCTTGTATTTTAATCATTGTTTTTTTACATTGCATTGTACGTTGCCTAGAGGCGACTGATAAATATAACCAGCGAATATCACAGATTGTATAAATGCCTTTGATATCCTCTTTCTTCCCTGTGAGCAGATGGAGTTCTGTCAATTACATGCCATTCTTTTGTAGAATGTAAGGCCAGCTATAATTGGATTGGTGTGTGTGTCCATCTTTTGATTTCTGATTGAGTGAATTTTAAAAAACAGAAGCGGGAGAAGAGAGTCCTGGGGAACTGGAAATTGCTGACAAAAGGGCTTCTGATCAAAGAGAGACTGAAGAGACGCTACTCTATTAAGGTAATAAAAGGCCTTTAGTCTGTATTTTTACTGCTATAAGGGTGTTCCTGCTGACATTATTCAGCCTAACAGTAGGCTGTATTCAAGGTATACATACATAGACTGAGGTCTGTATGCAGTCCTGTAGGTAAAAAAAGGTAAAGGACCCCTGGACGGTTAAGTCCAATCAAAGGCGAATATGGGGTGCGGCACTCATCTCGCTTTTCCGGCCGAGGGAACTGGCGTTTGTCCACATACAGCTTTCTGGGTCTTATGACCAGCATGACTAAACCACTTCTGGTGCGATGGGACACCGCGATGGAAGCCAGAGCACACAGAAATGCCATTTACCTTCCCGCCACAGCGATACTTATTTATCTACTTGCACCGATGTGCTTTCGAACTGCTAGGTTGGCAGGAGCTGGGACAGAGCAATGGGAGCTCGCCCCGTCACAGGGATTCAAACCACTGACCTTCAGATCAGCAGACCCAAGAGGCTCAGTGGTTTAGACCACAGCGCCACCCACAGTCCTGCACATATTTATTTAGGAGCAAGTCCTACACAAGTGTGGCTTATTTCTGAGAAGTGAGTAGGATTGCAGTTTGCTTCAGGCCATTTGGATGACGGAGCTCAGCAGTGGCTTAGATCAAGATGCTGAAGGCCACTTGACCAAAATCACCACAAACTGTGTAAAGTTTTGAGAAGGAAGCAGGTGACAGTAAGTTAATTCTACAACAGCTGACGGGAAGGGAAATCAATCTTCCTTAACTTCAGAAATGGGGAGATCTGAACTGAGCTCCCCCCGCCCCTTTCTTCACACATGCACCCACCTTCTGGGATGTTACAGGTAAGAATAAATTGCCGTAAAGAGTTGTGGGAATTGTGAAACCAACGCAATTAAGGCTTTGGGGTTTTTAAATCAGCCATGCTTAGCTGGCAACCAATACACAGATTTTACTGTTTTAATAACTTCAGAATGTATAGTGGGTTAGGGGTGTGTTTAATTGCTCTAACGATGCTGAAATGCACAGTGGCTCCTTTGGTTTAGTTGTTGTGGGAAAGGGCATAGCCTTCCACAGAAGGAAGCAGGTTGATATGGGACAAGTGATAACGAGAGCACATTCTTCTCACCTTCAGGGTTTTTTGCCTGAAGTCATGCCAGCGGCAAAATCCTGAAAAGTATTGCCTTGTACTTCAGTGATTCCACTTTCTTGTCAATGCAATTGTCCAAGATCATCATCTAAACATTGGAATTTGGTCTAGATGTTTTTGCACAGCCAGTTGAAACTCCTTTGCAAATGAGGTTCTCTTCACAGCAGCAGTTAACATCCCACCATTTGTTGGCTTTTACTTGTTTGTGAACCATCTTGGTGTTCCTTCTCAAAATGAACGGCAGTACATACATTCTTTTACTAGTAACAATTGCTTCTCTTCCAGAATGAGGCAGCAGGAGCAATGGTGACTCCAGGAGGCGGGTTCTCCTCTGATGAGGATGAAGGAGGCGGAGAACCAAGCTCAGAGACACCAGCTGGGGATGTGGACGTTTCTTGGCCCCAAAATCGGCAACTGGAACAAGAGAGGGAGGGAGGGAAAAGGACCAGAAAGAGCAAGAGGGAAAAGAAAGGAGAAGCAAAATACTTGTTCCCATTTGAGAAGCTGTAACTGGAAGCAGCCACTGTGGCAAAGAAAAGAAGAGTCTTCATAAAGAGACCAACTTGTAAATAGCTTCAGATTTAGGAAATAATATATTTTTTTATTTGCTGCAAGATGGAGATTTGAGTTTTGACTCAATATGTTAAGAGAGCAATTGTTTGATTGTGTGTGAAAATACTTCTGGTGAGAATAAATCAGGGAGTTCATAGGAACCTTTATAAGTCTTGGCCATAGAATACACATTTTACTCCATTTGCGGTTGCAAATGTGGATTGTGCCAAGTTGGCTAAAAGAGCTTAGAATTAGATATGTTTTTATTACCCTCTCTTCAGAGGAGCGAGCCTTGCTCCTTTGTATTTGTCGAGTTACGGGGAACAGGCTGGTTTAGACCAGTTGTGGGGGATTCTGTGACCCTCCAGAAGTAGCTGGGACTACAAATCCCATCATCCTTGGCCCCTGGCCTTGCTGGCTGGAGTTGTAGTCCAGCACGTTCCCCACCTCTATCTTAGGTGCTGTCAATCAGATGCTTTGCGAATGCTGTTTCCCGTTGAACATTTTTGCAATTCCTTGGTTTCCCCGCGGTTAGCAGTGTCTCTCTCACTGTCCTCATCCCTTCTGTTTGTCTGAAAGACGATTTACATGGTAGCTATAAAGGTCCCAAGTATGTCATCAATGGCTTGAAGGTGGTGATGTCCTTTGCTTGTAAAGAGTTTAAAAATTTTTGGCTTCAGGAAAAGGTGCAGGCCATCCACATTTTGGGCACAGTCCCCCGTGAAATTTTCCAGGACAAACAACAGAAGCAAGTGGAGAGTGTCAGAAAAAAACATTGCTTGTGCTCTTGCACATTTCCCCACTTATTTCTAGAGAGCTTGTGCAAGAGACACAAATGGGAACCTTTTTGCTAGTTAAAAAAGTACTATAGGAGCTTTGGGTAGGGGAACTTCTCAATAATCATTTAGTTTTTGTCTCTCTTCCTTCTGCATCCTCATAAATAAGCCTCATTATAAGCCATGTCTGTTTTGAGCACTGAACTAAAGTTACGATGGCTCCAGTCTGAAATGGTCTGAGTGAGCACATTCTAAACAGAACTGACATATAAGAATGTATGCTTGCATTCTGCTGTTACTTAATGGATCACTGTACAATGATTTGTTTGCCTCTTCTATAGAGTGCTTTCACTTATACACACTTTTTGCTACAAAAGAAATGTTAATGATACCACTTGACACAGCTTTAAAAATTACACATTTTTACTGGACTGAAAATTTTTGCATTTTTGTTTTAACTCTCTTGGACTAGTATTTAGCACTTTAAAAATATTCAGGAAAAAATATTTTTGTACTGAATCCTTAGTTTAAAATAAAAGCTTTAATATTATTTTATGCAAGAGTCTTCTTTCTTTCCAGAGATGGCCATTGGTGGGTGCCGCATGCTACAAACACCTGCTTCATATTTCACTGTAGGCTGGATTTCTGTACCCCAGAAGCTGCTAAGTGATGGCTCTCTAGATGTTATTGGGAATAAAACACCCAACATCCTTGGGAGTTGACTATGCTGGCAGGGCCTGATGGAACCTTAAGTCCAGCAACAGCTTGAGGAAACCATATTGACTACTTGAACCATATTGACAACATGATCTAAATATAGAATTCAAGGCAGAAGGGAAGGATAAATATTGACAAGATTGGGTACATTATGTAAGTTCCGTTTGTTGCCAAGGGAAGAGTAGGAACCATTTGAAAAGATGCATCCTTTGTGTGAACTTCCAATGGAAAAATACACTACCTACATTAGCAGGTTCATTAAAGGATAAATAAACTTCATTTGTCTATATTATGAAAGAGTTGCACTGTGACTATTAATTCACGGGAGACTCAATTTTTCAGAAAAGTGACACATCAACTGAGCCAGTTTTGTGGCTGTCCATGGTAGCCAGACATGCTGAACAAATCAGTTTCCTGCTTGTCCCACAAGGTGCTTGAAGATGTTTTAATTGCAGGCATGCAATTCTCCTCTCTTGTTGAATGGGCGTCCTTAAAACCAAATCCTGGTTTAAAAAGAAAACCACACACCAGCACTCATTGATCTTTTATTCATGGAATACAAAAGTCTGGCACTGCCACCCAAATTAAAAAAAAACACACCAAAACATAAAAAACCAGCATTGCCACGTATCTTTTTTTTTAAAAAAAAAACATCCACCCAAGCATTTCAAGTGTTGCTGTCTGGAATTTACTCCTTGGCTTACAAAAAAACCCCGGCTTAATATTTTCCTCTGTGCAATTATCTAGCACACAGTTGACATAATAACAACACCTTAAGCAATACCACCTCAAGCCTCTTAAATAGCAGATATAGTCAGTTCCATTTTGCCAGGACTGGGTTGAGATCATCTGCCTATTCAAGCAATGACCAGACTATGTGATTCAGAGACTCCTTGCACAGCAGTATCCAAGCTCCAAGAATAGGAAAAGACCAGACAATATTAAAATAATTATCATCTGCTTTCCCAGAATGTGACTCCCCCCTCCAGGAGTCACTATGAGGAATCTAACGACAATGGGATTAACTCTTCAGACATTTAAGGTAAAATGTATGGAGTTTACCCCTTTTTTCCAACTACAAAGGATAGCTGCAGGAGTATAAGAGGCATGGGACACAAAACAGTAACAGTACTTGCAGAGGTTTACATGTAGAAATATTATGTTGCAATGATTACTACCTTTCAGTGAAAATAATACATTCCTCTGCTTAAATGCAAGAAAGGTGGTATCCTGAGGCTGTTGATACAGCTTTGGTTTTAAGTCATAATTTCCTAAATAAACCATTAAATTTTTTTAAAAAATTTTTTTGCAAATAAAGCGAGTTCTTCATATGGAGAATCACCACAGGTACAAATCCCTACTCAGTTCACTTAGCATCTACCAGACTACAGAAAAAGTGATTGGGAGCAAGATAAAGCTCTAGGCACACTTAAAATTGGGATGCAACAGGGGTGGTGGGGGGGGGAGAGAACAGTCCAAAAGCACTTTAAGATGGCCATTTCACCCCTTACATCATATGCAAGCTCATATATAACTTTAACAGAGATAAGCAAGGAAAAGGCACAAAAAAACCCCTAATGATTTACACAGTTTCAAAAACCTGATGTGGTCTTCATCAATACAACAAACCACCTATCCTTTCCTTATGAGGGTCGCCGGACTGTTTTAATCAAGCTGCAAAGGCAGCTTCACTTGATTGTGCTTAATATCCGGCACACAAAAATTCTATTCCATTTCTACCATTTTGTATCCATCAACTTAAAAAAGACAAGTTGCACTTTTTCACTTGGTTATGTAATAAAAACTGTACACATGTTCTGCATCTAGGTCCATCATGGAACTCTTTGGTGTCATACTGTCTGGATTGCAACGTCAAGGAGTTTTTGTTTTGGAAAACAGAAAACAAAATCCACACATACACAGTGGCAATTGCTTGAGAAGTTCCGGGCGCCTCCAAAAAGATTTGGGTGTGCACCTTGAGGCCCCTTCTCCAGGGATCACTGCTGCTTCTTGGGTGGAACCCGGGACCTCGCAATCACAATGGGAACCGCCGCCAACAGGGCAATCAGTCCTGCCCAGAGAGGCCGGTAGAAGAGCCAGCCCACTGAAATGGTCAGCAGGGACAGAGAAGTGGCCAAGCAAAAGGCAAATGCTTTCAGACCAAGGTTAACCAGGTCCCGGACTACTGGAAACCAGTCCACTGTAGCGGGAAAGAAGAATTAAACAAGACATGAAGCAGTGACACACTGGTTTGAGATCAGCATGATGACATGCTGCTGCTAAACCATGCTTTAAATCTCATCCAGCGTTCTCATAAATCTTCTTCCTCCCCAAATTACCCACCACTAAGTCAGTAAAAAAACAAAAAAAAACTTTGGCCTAATCCTCTGAGCACTGAAAAGCCACAGAGGACAGAAAGTTAACAGTGCAGAAGCTGGACGAGGGAGATCAAAGCTCAGGTCTCCACTTGGCCACGGAATAAGCTTGGGCTTGTCACTTGTAAACTGAAAGCATACCATATATGCCACCCCGAGCTCCTTAGAGGAAACAGAGGTGGGATACAAATGTAATAAACAAAATAGTTTCCAGTAAGTTTGGAAATCTGATTTGACAGGTGGTAGCATCCTCTGTATAGTCCCTGGGTATCATCTGAAGGCACACAAGGCCACCTCCTTGCCGGAGGTGAAAAGGCCTGGACCTGGTGAGCTCCCTGGTGGGGGACCACAAATAAGCTGCTCCATGATGGAAGGCAGGTAGGATATTAATGTAAGAAAAATAATAATAAGGCTGCCATCCCTAACTGTCCACTCAGAAGTCAGCCCTGTTGAACTGAACAGCTCTTACTCCCAGGCAAGTGGGGTTACAATTGCAGCCTAAGTCATCTGCCCACTTCAGAAAGGGGGAAAGCAAAGCCTTGGAGAACCCAGAGTCTCAAAAGAGATTATGCAGAAGAGGTAGGACTCGACATATTTTCTGTTGTGTGGAACATGGTTCTCATTCACTTCTGTTGAGTTTCACACCCTTACTGTAGCTCTGCTCAAAAACAAGCAAGTACCTTCCTTCTCCCTCTTAGCAAACCGTATTCTAAACTAGAGTGTCCTGTGAAAGTGCCTCCCTAATCCTGGGTCCTGGATCATCAGCATGAGAGAGAACACAAAGCACAGGAAGGGGAGAACTGAGTTACAATTCATCCGTTAATGTTCAAGCTCAGGAGCAGGATCACTACACTCAGGGCTTTTTTCCCCAGCCAGAACTCACCAGAATTCAATTCTGGCACCTCTCAGGTGAGTGCCATTGTCATTATAAGAGAACAAGGGAGACATTCATGGTGAGTTCCGGCACCTCTTTTTCTAGAAAAATAGCGCTGGCTACACTATTATAATGACAGACTTGCTATTATAGTACAGAAGTTGCTTGGATCCAATATACTGATATATTAATAATAATAATAATAATAATAATAATAATAATAATAATAATAATTTGATTAAATGCTTGATTTATCAATCAAGTCAGGTTGCTACCAGCAAAACTTACCCAGGGTGTAAAAAATCCTGGTCATAAGGCTGATGCCTACAAACATAGACATCCATCCAGCTGCACGGAGGCCCCAGGTCTTCATGTTGTTACTTTCATGTTCTTTCTGGAACACCTCCTAAAATGCGTTCAGTGTTCAGTGAGTACACCAAGCTTTCCTATAAGATACAGCTCTGCAAATTCTACATACCACTGTTCTGAAATTTTTATGCGTAAGACAATGGCTATGTTTGGATGCAACACGAAACCGTGCTTTAGTGTTACATGCATGAACATGATGTCCAAATGCAGCTGATATAAATCTATACACACACTATTTACAATATTCAACAGAGATGGAAGCAAACAACTGACTTTTATTCCTTAAAAAAGAAGCAGTAGCAGCAATACTGACTCCCCTGCCCTTTGTAACACATAATGAAATAACATTCCATTAAGTTGATCTACATTGCTAGATTACATCACTGCTCTTTTGGGTCAGAGTGTGAGATAATCCTTGATTGGAATCATGCTGATCAAGTATGTAGTGGACACACCCACCCACCTCCATCTAGCCTGGCCTTCCCCACCGCAGTGCCCTCCAGAAGATTTGGACTTCAAATACTACCAGTCCAACTGAAGGAGATCAGAGTCCCAAATGTCTGGAAGGTTGGCACATTGTGGAGGGCAGATCCAGCCAGCCACACACACACACACACACACACACACACACACACACATTGCTTCTATGTTTTTAACAGATGAGGGTGGGCAGTGATTTCCTGCCTGTCTTAAGGACTTCGTGAAAGTAGGATATTGGGGGGAAATGTGTGAAACAACCTGGGGGTGTGGGGAAGAGGAGTGGAGTGAGGTGGCTAAAACATCTTGCTGGAACAGAAGATAAAGATATAACACCATGTAGCACCATTTAGTACAAAAAATACTAGACTTTTTTAATTTTTAAAAATCCTTTCTGGATAGTGTACCACCTCATCATCATAAACAACTTCTCTTTCTGAGATATAACTCTGCAAATTTAACAAGTCTGGAAAATTTTCTCTGCGTTTGAATTAACTATTCTACTGTTCTTCCAACACCTCCCATGATTTCATTTACTGAAATGCAATGTTCCTCCCGTATATCCTATGACAGAAAGAATTCCTGGCTGGCCAAGAGACCAAGGAGCAGTCATAGACCAATGATATGCAGAAACGCTCCTGCTACATACCTACTCCTATGACACCCTACCCTCCCTGCCAACCAAACTTCTCTGATTTCTTACTCCATCTACTACAAAGATTGACACATCTTCGCCTGGGAACAATGCCTTCAATGGGTCCAAACTTGCGGGTGAGGATACAGTCACTGGCCCTTCTGTCCTGCTGCTCCAATGGTTCCCTTTGCTTGACATTTAAGTGGGGCAAATAAAGATGCCGCTCCCAGCCTGTGCCTGTGCCTGCATAGTCTAAAATCAAACAAACAGGCAAAGGAAAGCACACTCAGCTGAAGTCATAGTGATGTCACCTTATTGGCAGGTGGGCGGGGAGCAAATGACCCGCAGTGGTTGAGGAAGGTCAGGATCTGGCTGGCCCCCAGTTCTCTGCAGCAGATGTAGCTCAGCATTTGTCTGCCTGGTAGTGGCTCTTCAGGGTTTAGACAAGAGACTTTCTCAGGGGTCAGCAAACTTTTTCAGCAGGGTTCACTGTCCCTCAGACCTTGTGGGGGTCTGGACTATATTGGGGGGGGGAGAGAATGACTGAATTCCTATGACCCACAAATAACCCAGAGATACATTTTAAATAAAAGGACACATTCTACTCATGTAAAAACACGCTGATTCCCAGATCGTCCACGGGCCGGATTGAGAAGGCGATTGGGCCGCATCTAGCCCCCGGGCCTTCATTTGCCTACCCATGGTCTTTCTCATCCCTACATGATATTGTTACGGATTGGACTACAGACCCTTCACATGCAAATCACATACTCTATCACTGAGCTACAGCCCTTCCTCAAAGACACAAAGTCCCAAGAGAAAAGAAGCAGAAAGTAAATTGGATTCTGCTGCATATCTCACTTATACATACAAGGAGAAGACCATTCTTTCTCGTGTTCTCCTGTATCTATAACTCTTACCTCAGCAGAGAGCTCATCGGGATAGAGGATCTGCAAGATATCCCCAGCCTTGGTTCGGTATGAAGCCAACTGGTCCCCTTGTTGACGAGCAATTACTGTCACCTGAAAAATTCCAGAGTTGAAAATGAGTGTCTTAAAAAGAGCCTCGCATGTTAACAGTTTCATTACACAGAAGTGTTATTTCTTCACACAGGGAGGAGTAGGAGAGAGCTGGAACACTTACCGTATCTGCTGGACCCAGGTGGGATGAGTCTCCACTCAAACCTGCATAGAAGAAAGAAACACGAAGATCTCCTACCTGAAAGTGGGAGAAACAAACAAGGTAAAGGCTTGGTAACAGAAGCTTCCCAGTGGAGATTTTGGAAATCTACATTATCTGAGTTCATGCTATTCCCATCCTTTAAGTAAGTTTCCCAAGTGACATTCTTGATTTGGCAGTAGTGCAGAACTTCCCTGCAAGAAGCTCTCTCATATACCTGAACCCAGCACTAAGCAGGATCCCCACCTCCGCCTCTGTGAAGGCAGGGTGATCTTACTTGATCTGAGTATTGTTCTCTCTCCACTTCAGCTGCTGTTTCACTGCAAATGGGTTTGTAGTTACCTGCTAGTGCTTTGAAGCCCCAATTTTGGAACGTCAAAGCACTAAATTCCTGATGTCATTTGTGACATCAGGTGATTGACAGGTGGGCAGTCAAATTTGGCCCATCAGGCAGATTCTGATAAACATCTGGCCCATGCAGCCAAAAAGGCTCCCCACCCCTGCTGTATAGGATTGCAGCCTTATAGGAGCGAGAGTATATGACAAGACAAACAGTATACACAATATAACTGCAGTTGTTAGTGGTGGTGGGAAGGCAACAGAGTTTTGAGTTAGTTTTTGAACTGTTAATTGTAAATTGGTTTCTTACTTCGGGACGTCGAGGATTCTCACTGTGAAAAAAGTAATCCCCTGAGCGGATCACATCAGCATGGGGATCTTCCAGTTTTGCCAAGCTCATCTGTTTGAAGTTATCAATCTTCTCAACAAGGCCTAGGAAACAAAGGAGTTGCTCTGTTCTGTGATATTTAACTACAATAACCCAAACAGACATTCTGGATATGTCTTGTGTGATTTCTGCTCTGCAGAGGTTCAACAAAACCCAGTTGGAACTGGAAACAGACTGCTAAAGTCAAAATGTCCTTTTATCAGTTTTTCCATAATTTACTCAATGTGGAATGATCTTAAAGCATAGTCTAACTACACCAAAACTAAAAGTTCTTACCTTTGGAAAGAAAGAATCTGCCTACTTGGACATCAGGAGCAACTGCAGTGAAAGTTTCAACAGCCATGGCACTGCGTGGAAAAAAGTAATTGCAAAGTTTATTCCAACTCAATAGACACAATGGCACAGAAAGGGTTAGCAAAGATTTCTATTTGGCAAAACAAGCATGCCGTGTCAGGAAACCTATTCAAATGTATTTGCTAAGTGATTTACAGTGCCATCCTTTTCTGACTGCAGAATACCTAACAGTATCTAGTTCAGGGTTTAAGATATAATCTTAACCCCATTTACTGGGAGGAAGCACCACTGAATTCATTAGGACTTCTTTCTGAGTAGACGTGGTTAGGATTGCACGGTAAGTGAATGAGCCATCATTCATTTCAACCCATTTCATAATGGGCAAGGTTCTGTGAGATGGTGAAATACGGGGCTTACCTAGGATTTTTATGACCAATTTCCCGATCAAAATTTCTGCTGTTCACAACTTCCGATTTCCATTCAGTATCTAAAAAGGAAACAAGAAAGTATATAGAAAAAGAGACCAAGGAGATGTTAGTTTAGAATGCACCTCCCCACTTCAATTTGCATACAGAGTGCAACCAGCAAGGGGTACCTGCATACTAAAAAAGTGCCTAGCAAATCGGATTGGACTATATACCATGAAGTGAACAACGTAACTGAGAGGTGTACAGGGTGGGTGAGGGATCTGAACAGAACAAGGTCGTGTCAGCTGAAGAAGTGATGCTACAGCAAGCCCACAGAATATGCAACGTGGAAGAATATTGAGGATGGGGCTTAAATCTCACCCATTTTCGAGAAGGCAATGGAATTACAGTCATACTTTGGGTTACAGCTGCTTCAGGTTGCTTTTTTTCGGGTTATGGACGTGCCGAAACCTGGAAGTACCGGAACGGGTTTCTTCCGGGTTTCAGCAATCGTGCATGCACAGAAGCGCTAAATCATGCTTTGAACATGCGCAGAAACGCCAAATCGCAGCTCATGAGTGTGCAGGCACGGCACTGTGGGTGCGAACACAGCGGGTTGCGAACGTGCCTCCCGCATGGATCACGTTCACAACCCAAGCGTCCACTGTGGAATCTTCAAGCCACAACTTTTAAGACTTCCTGAAAAACAGACTCGTTCATTGCATTTTTGAGCACTGAAGCCCAGGTTGTCTTAGCATAACATGCAAATCACTCATGCAGGTATTCCCCCCCCCAAAAAAGGTATACAGTGGTACCTCAGGTTAAGTACTTAATTTGTTCCGGAGGTCCGTTCTTAACCTGAAACTGTTCTTAACCTGAAGCACCACTTTAGCTAATGGGGCCTACTGCTGCTGCCGCGCCACAGGAGCACAATTTCTGTTCTCATCCTGTGGCAAAGTTCTTAACCTGAAGCACTATTTCTGGGTTAGCGGAGTCTGTAACCTGAAGTGTATGTAACTTGAAGCGTATGTAACCCAAGGTACCACTGTATTAGGCTTCAGCCACCTTTTGCCTGCCACATCTTTGTAGGCAACCCAGCTGGATAACTATTCCATTTTGAGATCCTTGAAGGACACACAATATATAGCTGCAGTACATAAACAATGCCACAAAAGTGAAGGGTAAGGTTGCTGCCATTCTCCTGCCATTGTTTAACAGCTGCTGCATGACAGAAAGAAATTCAAGAGGGGCAGGTCTGGCAATCACTTTATGCAACAACACAACACACCTTCCCCCACCTCAGAGCTGAGGAAAGTGATGGTAAGAGCTGTCCCTGTTGAATGTATGCCTGTCAAGTAGCTGTCTGAAGGCACAGTTACCAGTCCTAATGGGAGAAATTTGTGTGCTAGTCAACTTACTATATGAATATCTGGTTTCTTTTTTCACTTCACCATTCTCTTCATATTCTCTACAGAGGGTGAGGGGGGGACAGAGAAGTTAAACACACACCAAAGTGCATTCCGCAAGGAGTCTACATTTCACACAGCTTTTTTGTATATGAATCACAGAAAAAATATTAGCAAATGCCAGTGTAACATTTTAACTAATCAGGTCCAAGAGACCATTGGTCCAACAGTGCTGCTTCTGTGGGATAATGGAAAGCTCTGTTTAGTTCAGGGGTAGCCAAGATGTTAACTCCCACCAACTGCTCACCGCTGAGCTAAGCAGGCACAGAGATGTGCCCTGCTAGCAGCAGGAATGAGAGGGAAGCAATAGAAAGGCTACTGCAAGGAAGGGAAGAGTAGAATATTCAGTGAAATGGGTCCAGGTTTGGTGTGACAAAGGAATCTGGAGCAGTAGGCAAGATGCCAGCACCCACGCCAACTGACTATTGTCTATTTTGGCACAAAACCCAGCCAAGGCAAGGTAGAGAGAAGGGTTGGAGGCATGAGAACCAGTGGTAATATTTTCCCTATAGCTCAGTGTCTCATACTTTCCACAACAGAAGCCAGCTATAAACAAGTGACTCATGGTTCTGTGTTCATTTGCTCTTTATAGATTTGAATAATCAGTCACCGTGGGGGGAAAGTATATACTGCATTCCAAAAGAAAAGACTTGACCAAATAATTGTTGTAGGCCTCAAGGGTAGAGTACAGAAAAGAATTAAAAGAGAAAGTTGTGGAGGAAAGCTACAGGTGAACATAATGCTGTGTTCTGGATTATAGAGTACAAGTCCCTATGCCCAAACACACGCCCCAGTCCCACACATATGTTCCATGGCAGAGAAAACATTAATAAGTTCATCTTACTTGGAATCTTCATATTCTACCCACTGATACATCTCCACATTACGCTTCAGCTTGACAGCCCGGATAGAAAGTCCATAGCTGGGATCATATAAAGGCTATCAAACGCAAAACAAAGTTCCAATCAGGAGATCTGTAGTTTACAAAGGTTTCCCAAGACTTTGGGCGGGTGAAGAGACAGAGAAGCAAAAGGCACTACTTAAATCTGGGGCGCAATGGCATGTCTACAAACTTGTTAGGTGTTGGGCGTTTGCAAATTAGAGCTAAGGTCCCTCAGAGTCAGAAATCTTCTTTAGTAGCCTGCTGAAAAGCGATGACAAACGATGACTCTGCCCAAAGTTTTCTGCTGGCTATAGGCATTCCCAAGCCCCAGCTGGCTTTTCTGATAGGCAAGGGGTCCTATGCAAGCCCTATCAGGGCAAGTCAGACTCAGTTCTAGATAGGGTTGTCAGCTAAAGCGAATGCCTTTCCAGAGAAGAATTGCCAACAAGCATGGGAACTACAGGAAGTACGCCAGGAAAAAAGCAACTTTTGCCTGGATTTTGAAGGACAACATTGTTAGACAAGCCAACACAAAAGTGCAAGCCAACTCATAAGCCCATTTACTAACCTGTGAAATGCAGAATCCTAGCTAAGTGGCCTGACTGCCTGGCATATTCTAGACAGCGGGGTTTGGGGTACCAAAGGGGCCCAAACGTAAGCCTTACTTAAATGATACTATTGCATCATTACATTGTAATGCACGGTCTTACAAAGTCCTTAGCAGAGGGCTTTTCTTACTATGGCTTAATAAAAGGAACTTGCTTTTAAGGTTGCTGGTAGCTGATCCCTGAAACACATCAATGTAGGAGTGCTTTCAAACATATTCAGAGGACCTTTCCCTCACTATAGGCAGTTACCCAGTAAGAAAGGTTCTGAGCCAGAGGGCAAGATTTCCAGGCATCTAGACGTGTGTCGTAGCACTGAGAAATTAACCTCTGTACTTTGCCCCCTACATAAAGCATTAGGGAGCAGTGTTTCCAGAAAACACAAAATGGCATGAGCCATAACTTTTGAAGCATTGTGCATTCCAGATGCTCACTCTAACTTACACCTTTGATCGCATTTGAAGTTGCAGATTCTCATGCGTACATAACCCCCCCACACACACATACATACAATAGGGTGAAATAAACAAGCACAAGCTTTTTCAGGCAAGGCATCCAAATGTATGGGATAACTGAAGCAGCACTTTTAAAAACAAAGCAAAACACTGCAATGTGGAGGTGGGGGACAATCTACAAATTCTTCTGGTAGCGTCACTTTATTTACCTTTGAAGTTCTAAGGGGACCCGACAGGTGCACAAGTTTCCTTTCATTCTCTTGTAATATGTTCTGGATGTCGTCGAGAGGGACCACCAGAGAAAGCCCTTCTTCTAAAGAGGAGGCCGTCTTCAAAGCTCGCCCCTACAGACAACAAAATGCGAGAGGGGTGGGAGTGGGAAGAGCACACTTTGAGGCGACAAGACAGTGGAACGTTGTGCTAAAATTGACCTATAGAAAATCCTTGCAAGCAGAGGTGGGGTAGCTTCCAGGGGTTGCATCCCAGCACTGGGCAGAGCAATGGGTGAATCTTACACCTTTGTGCCCTGGGCTATATGACAGCCAGGCAAAAGCCACATCCCAGTGTTCCCCAATCTCTCCACCCACCATTGAGGCAAGCATTCTGGTTTAAGGACACATTTCAGGCAAGAAAGAGCACTTGAATGGGAACAGTGAGAAAGTGCGTCAGGGTGAGCAGGGCTGAATTCTGGGGAGAATCTGGATGAATTATGGGATGACTTCAGGCTTGAGATACAGAGGAAATACCACAGTTGCAGAGCAATGCTGAACCACCTAGGTAAAGGTAAAGGGACCCCTGACCATTAGGTCCAGTCGTGGCCGACTCAGGAGTTGCGGCGCTCATCTCGCTTTATTGGCTGAGGGAGCCGGCGTACAGCTTCCGGGTCACGTGGCCAGGATGACGAAGCTGCTTCTGGCAGCGCATGGAAACGCCGTTTACCTTCCCGCCGGAGCAGTACCTATTTATCTACTTGAACTTTGACGTGCTTTCAAACTGCTAGGTGGGCAGGAGCTGGGACCAAAAAACGGGAGCTCACCCCGTCGCGGGGATTCGAACCGCCGACCTTCTGATCGGCAAGTCCTAGGCTCTGTGGTTTAACCCACAGCGCCACCCGCGTCCCTGCAGAACCACCTTCTCCCTCGTAATTCTGCCAGTAAAAGCAGTTAAGACATTTTGAAAAGGTCTGCGGGTGACATTCCAGATAATGGCATGTAAAGATTTTTGTTGTCGTTATTTCTGAGATGCAAAATTAATGCCAAAATTGCATTGTGAAGTTCTGGAGGCAAATACATTAGCACTTATCACAGCTGCACAAATGCAAAATAATTAAGTTAGGGCTATAAATTCTTCAGAGGAAGCTTGAGCTCGATCTTTAAAAGCTATTTCCAAAGGTACCTTTACTGAGCGAAAGAACCCACTCAATAAAGTGGGCTTAAAAAGGAGCCCAGGAAGAGAGCCATAGCTCGGTGGCACAGCATCTGTTTTTCCACCTAAAGGTCCCAGGTTCAGTCCTCAGCATCTCAAGGCAGGGCTGGGAGAGATTCCTGCCTGAAGGTCTAGAGAACCGTTGCCAGCCGATCTATGAGTCCTACTGGGGAATCCCCAAAGGGCCTTAATATTTTATACCCCTGGGCTACTTGAAACAATAATTCCATCCTCCCTGCCTTGACTTACCTCATTGGTAAAAAGAACGTAAAAAGAGAGGGCAAATGCGGCAAGTCCTATGAGCATCCCTCCAGAAGTTTCACTGAGGCGCTCCAGAAATCCAGGCTTGCGCTCACTTGTAATTTTAACATGTTCTTTCTTGCTACCGGTGTCAGAAAACTGTTATAAAAGAAAAAACAAAATCAAAAGAAATTACTTCTGGGCAGAGTTCCTACCATGGCATGCTCAACACCCAAAAGAGAAATCAGCAGGTTGGCGTCAGCCTCTTGACAATGTGTTCTCTACACAGACAGTTTACAAGCAATAGAGATCATATTTTCATATAGTCCATTAGTGCCATGAAAATAGGTACTAAAAATAGCAAGGATGGGATTTCCCCGGGGGGGGGGGAATAGTCTGCTACAGCAATGGTGGTAGATACCAGTTTTTATTTGGCAAAAAAAGTGATAAGCATAAGCTAAGAACCTACCTTTCAAGACAGCAATTCAGTTTCCACCCCACCCTACTGAATACATTATTAATGCTCACTTACAACTACCTATGCACATTTCAAAAAGGAAATAGCCAAGGCTGCAGTTCTAAGACTACTGACATTGCAGTGCTATTCCAGTCCATAAACAGAGTGGTCACTTTCAGCTCTTTTTCAACTGGAAAAAGGATCAGAATTCTGCAACAGTGCATATGCAACCACCACCACTGAATGCAGGTAGCATTCAACACTTTGGCCTGTATGCATGAAGGAACACTTCAAGCAATCCTTCCCTTCATGGTTCTGGTGGTGGGAAAATACTTTGGTTTGGATTTTTTAAAGGTTAAGGGGGAATAAAGAAGCATGGAATGCTCAGTCTAAACATTCAACATCGTTCACAGACTCTACTTCTCAACATTAGCACAGGACTAAATAACGCAGTTTAAAAATAACACCGTGAAGAGACACAGAAGGATTATCAATTGCCCACACTGAAACACATTTTAGGGTGTGTCTACTCAAAATATTTTCTACAGGTGCCCATAGCAACTGGCTTTCTGAGCCAAGCAGACACACACTTGCTTCCCAGGATGACATGCAAAGAAGCTGTGTGTGCACATGCTACTCAGCTAACTTCTCCTTGTTTTAACCACAGGGCAGAAGTTAAAACAAGACCATGCTCAATCATTGCTTCTGAAGAACTGATATCAAAGCACAGCTGGTAGAAACAAAACACAAATTCTTTAGAGAAGTAAGTTCAAAAGTGTTCAATGGGGCTTACTCCCAAGTAAGCATGTAGAAGACTGTAGCCTTCGTCTACCAGCTCATTTGTTCAGCTTTATAGTTTTGCCCAGGGGATGAAACTTACCTACCTACTCAAAGTGTACTGACCTCCCTCTACCTCCTTCTGTCACTGTGCTGCTCCATCTTGTGCTTTAGGCAACCAGACCAGTATAGTTCCCTCCAGCCAATACTTTCAGAAGAGACCCTACTAAGGTGGCAAGCCTATTCACAACTACCTGGGAGCAAGTCTCACTGAACACAGTGGGACTTACTTTTGCATAAACATTCATAGAAGTGCACTGTGCATTTCACATGAGGTTTAGCCTACAGGATTAATCTGTGGGTGCCAGCTAGCTTGGCTATGTATCCTTTTAGTAAGATTCAACAGTTTTGCCAGTCTTTCTTGATTAATTCCTGATGGGAGATCTTGGTGGTTGTTGAGGTTGTTGTTGTTTAATTAAATACTTGTTGACTGCAGCCTAGCACCCTTTAATCCAGGCATAGGGAAACTTGGCCCTCCATCTGTTTTGAGACTACAATTCCCATCATCCCTGACCAGTGACCACTGGTCCTGTTAGCTAGGGATGATGGGAGTTGTAGTCCCAAAACATCTGGAGGGCCCAGTTTGCCTATGCCTGCTTTAATCATATTAAACCCAATGGTGTCGTTTTAACTGCACAGGCATATGCAAGCAGAAGTAAGCCATGTCAAATTTGCCCTGGTAAATGATAGAATGTTTTTAGCATGGCTTCTCTCTTGCCTTTTGTCCATTTACTTAAAAACGTTGTTACTGTGGGGTGGAAAGTAGAAGCGAGTCCCCTTTAATCTGAGCATGTGCTGCAGCCAAGGTAAGATGTATGTTTGTACTTGTACGCACTGGAACCCAAAAAAGGTCCGTTTTCAAACTTGGTGAGTGACAACACCCTGAAACAATTCATAAGCAGACGCCCTTTTCCAAGGGAATAGCTGCGCTAGTTGTTGGCAGCAAAGAGGATGCAGAGTAAGTCACACAGCATCTTGAGGCACATGCTGGTTAACAACGCCTAATGTCTCAGACTCAGAGGAATCGGTATTTCCGTAGCAGTAGTAATAGAAACCACGGAGGAGAAAACGGTTCCTCTCCATTTTAAGTCCTGCAAGCAGCATCTACTTAACTTCTCCCCATCAGGAAAAAAAAATAAAAGCACAGCTGTTCGTTCCCGCGCTGACAAGCCAGCTGATCTCACGCCACCCGATCCTGTGCACATTTACTCGGAAGTAAGTCTCGCTGCGTTCAATGAAGCTTGCTGCCTCCCAAGCCAGAGTGCGTAGGATCGCAGCCCCGGGATGCCCGCAAGTTTTTGGTGTGTCTCAGCCCGTCTCTAAACCCGCGAGCGTCGAGATCTAGTTGAGATCCCTGCCTTGCAAAGAGAGGTTGGGCTACAGGAGCCTCGGGGTCCCTTCCAACCGAACAATTCCATGATTCCTAGGGCCACCTTTAAGGAAAGGGAGACACACACTTACATTTCGAGACATCTTGAGCTTGAGAGTCTCTAAGCTCCGCCGTAAGATCCTTAACACTGGAAGGAAAGAACGGAATGCAAATCCTCAGGAATCCCCACCCAGGCAGGGGTTAAGCCGTCACTCCCACGGGCTGCCCCGCCCCTCCGCTGTCGAGCAGGACGCTCGAGGCTGTCGCGCGTGCGCACTCCCTCCAACGAGCCTTCGCGGGCATGTCAGGGAGCAGAGAGCAGCCGTGGAGCATGCTGGGAAATGTAGTCGTTCAGCGGGACAGGGGCAACCACGCGTATTTATTTATTCTCTCCCCCTCCCCCGCTGGGACTATCATTGAACTTCCAAGCGTTAAGTAATAATAAAAAGGGGGCGGTGGTCATTTATCACACAGGCCGACGAAGCAGGTTTTGTGGAGAAAAGGAGGATTTACGCGCACAGCACGCCGGGACATGTAGTACTTCAGGGATAAGCCGACCACGCCGAGCTCTTCTCCTCCCGTTAGTTATGCCTTTGAGGCCCCGCTAGAGAACGCGGGAGGGAAGGCTCCGCCCCTGCCCGGCTCCCCTTGCGCGCCTCAGAAAGAACTCAGCGCTCAGGCGGGCTCCTAGTCTCCTCCTCCTCCTCGGGGTCCTTCCGGCGCGGGTGAGAGGTCGCCGCGAGGGGGAAAGCGCGCGGTCCGCTGTGCCGCCGGCTCACGGTGGCGGTGCTGGCGGGGCCGACGGACGGACGGGTCGCTCGTTGGGCCATCCGGCGCCGCGGAAGGAGCAACGCGCTGCTCGCGAGCTCTCCCCAGCCATGTCCTACTGCAGGCAAGAAGGTACTGGGGGAGAGAGAGAGAGAGCAAGCATTGCGTTTCCTTATGGGGGTCTCATCCCCGGCTCCTTCTCCCGAGGCGCTTGGGAAGGAGCACGCTTGGGCCGCCCTCTTCTTCCCCTTCTCGGTTTTCTTTACCCTCGAAACAGCCCTGCGAGCTGGACTGAGAGAGAGTGACCGTCCCCAAGGTCACGGGGTGGGAAGCCATGTGGCTGAGGAGGGATTTGAACCTTGCTCTTCCACATTTTAGCCACGGAGAGTGCGGGTGGGCAGGTTTTTTAAGAGGGCTCATCTCGTCTGGTGGTGGTGGTAATAATAATAATAATAATAATAATAATAATTTATTTTAATGAATAATAATTATTATATTTTATTTATACACTGCCCAACTGGCTGGGTTTCCCCAACCACTCTGCTTGGCTTGCAGCACATATAAAAACATAGTAAAACTTCAGACATTTAAATACTTCCCTAAACAGGGCTGCCTCCAGGTGTCTTCTAAAAGTCAGATAGTTCTTTTATTTCCTTGACATCTGATGGGAGGGCGTTCCACAGGGCGGGCACCACTACCAAGAAGGCCCTCTGCCTGGTTCTCTACAACTTGGCTTCTCGCAGTGAGGGAACTGCCAGAAGATCCTCAGAGCTAGACCTCAGGGTCCAGGCTGAAAGATGGGAGTGGAGACACTCCTTCAGATATACCTATTAAATGTATCTGCAACTGAGTCAGGTGTTGGAAACGTGGTTTGTCAGGACACCTTCTTTTCCAAGGGCTTTTGGGTATTTGCAATGTTTGCTGGTCACGAAACATCCCAGGGACTGAACTCTGTTGTTTTGAACGTAACGTTGCTACCTTTATTGTTAGTTCACCAAAGCCCAGCACTGTCTGCTCTGACTTGGCAGCATCTCTGTCCTGCAGGGATGGGGAACCTGTGACCTTTATTATTAATATTATTATTATTATTATTATTAAGTAGATTATTAGTAGACAAACACAACATTTGAACACAAGCTTATATTTATTTGTGAGCAAGGAACTTTGGTGTTAGGCCACAGCTACTTTATAAACAGTGGTACCTCGGGTTACATACTCTTCAGGTTACATACGCTTCAGGTTACAGACTCTGCTAACCCAGAAATAGTGCTTCAGGTTAAGAACTGTGCTTCAGGATGAGAAATTGTGCTCCAGAGGCGCGGCAGGAGCAGGAGGCCCCATTAGCTAAAGTGGTGCTTCAGGTTAAGAACAGTTTCAGGTTAAGTACGGACCTCTGGAACAAATTAAGTACTTAACCCGAGGTACCACTGTACTGTAGTAGTATATAGTTTTTGATGTTCATGGTAGGATGCTGTTCCTTTTACTGACAGTTAACAAAATGAGGCTTGCTCAGTCTTTCCCCCCACTCTCTTTCTCAGTTTTCCCTTCCTTCCCCCACAGAATAGAGTGAATGAAGTTATGACACTGTCTAGCAGTTGCTGTCCAGTTATGCAATGATAAATATGTTGTCATATTTATCATTACATAACTTTCAGAACTGTAAACTGCAGCATCTGCAATTTAATAGTTGAGTCTAATAAGGAGTTAGGTAAATAGTTAGGTAACTATGGTAGTAATAAAGTGGTACTAATTTTTAAGCGAAAGCAGTGAGTTGTGATTTACGATTAAGCTAAAGTCACTTAAAGTCTTAAATCAATACTTCTAATTATGTTTGTGGGGGTCTGCTTTGTCTAATGCTGTGAGACTACTGCTGTGAGTTGGTGGCTGAAAGAAAGTTAGAAACTGAAAGCTAGGAGCTAAATGGCACCTTAAACCTACGTTATGGGCACAACAAGGGAATGTCTAGGTGCTCTTTTTTATAACAAGAATGCAAAGCTGAAAATGAACTGCAGCTAAAATATTATGTTCAGTTTTCACATGGTCTAGTCCTTCCCCTGCCTGCCCACCCCCTAATATTCTTATGAGGGTCTCCTCTCCAGTTTTCAGAGAGTAGCTAGAAGTGGGGAGGCAGAAAAAGGTCCCCCTTTCCTTCCACTCTGCAGTTTTAATCAAATCTTAGGTGCAATACTCTGCCCAGAGCTCAAAAAGTGCTATCACTAATGAAATTCCCTGTCGCAAAATGCGCCTAGAACAATGGGAGTTTCGAACACTGGCTGTGTATTTGAGACACATAGTAGTACAGTCATACCTCGGGATAAATACACTTCAGGTTGAGCACGTTCGGGTTGCGCTCCGCGCTGACCCAGAAGTAACGGAGCATGTTACTTCTCGGTTTTGCCACTCGCGCATGTGCGGATGGTCAAAATGACGTCATGCACGGAAGCAGCAAAATGCGACACGCGCAGACGCGCTATCACGTCTTAGGTTATGTTCAGGATGCGAACGGGGCTCCAGAACGGATCCCGTTTGCATTCCGAGGTACCACTGTACATAGAATTATAGAATTGTAGGTTTGAAAAGGACCCCAGGAGTCATCTATTACACTAACCCTCTGCAAGGCAGGAATCTCAGCTAAAGCATCCATGGCAGATGGCCATCCAACCTCTGCTTAAAAACCTCCAATGAAGGAAAGTCCACAGCTTCCTGAGGGAGTCCGTTCCACATCATTGTCAGATGCTGTCATGGCACTTGAACTGTAACTTTATTGGTAGTTCAGGCAACTCCCCATTTGCATGGGGGCTGCGTTCTGGGTCATTGTGTGCTTGTGTGAAATTGCATATAATTGGAGCGTTCATTGAAAAAGCGTGCAAACACCCAGGCCTGCCCTCACCCTGTTCCTTTTTGTTACGTTTTTGGCTCACTTCCAGATTCAGCCTGATGCATGTGTGTGTGTTCATGCACATATCGGACACACCTAAAACGGCCACGCCTGTATTTCATTTCCATTATGTATAGATAGTGTGCTTTGGTTATATGAGAACTCACATTTGGAGAATGAGTTCACACTACAGTCGTACCTTGGTTTTCGAGCAGCCTAGTTCTCGAATGTTTTGGCTCCCGAACAATCGAAACCTGGAAGTGAGTGTTCCAGTTTTCAAATGTTCTTTTGGAAGCCAAATGTCCAACAGGGCTTCTGCAACTTCCAATTGGCTGCAGCCAATCAGAAGCCGTGTTTGGGTTTTCGAACGTTTTGTAAGTCGAACAGACTTCTGGAATACAGTGGTACCTCTGGTTACGTACTTAATTCGTTCCGGAGGTTCATTCTTAACCTGAAACTGTTCTTAACCTGAAGCACCACTTTAGCTAATGGGGCCTCCCGCTGCTGCTGCACTGCCGCCGTGTGATTTCTGTTCTCATCCTGAAGCAACCCGAGGTACTATTTCTGGGTTAGGAGAGTCTCTAACCTGAAGCGTATTGTAACCCAAAGTACCACTGTAGATTCCGTTCGACTTCCAAGGTACGACTGTATTAGTAGTTTGGATTAAGAACAAAAGCAAAATATCAGGTAGATAAATTTTTGAAATCCACCTTAAGTCTGTAATTGACAAGGAGAGAAACTTTGCAGTAATCTCTCTGAAAAATTGCCTTTCTTTAAAAAAAATAGATCTGAATGAAGCTAATCAATTCTATGAAATGACTGGGGTGAGTGTTGTTACAAGATGATGTAATGCTTCACTTGCCTCTGGCCTGTGTGAGTTACTTTGGGTTTAGGCAGCACTTCAGGGAAGCCTTTCATTGGAAGTGCTGATGCATGATTTCAGTGTTCTGGGGGCTGACAGTGGGGATGTGTCCGGGGAAAATCTCCATTGCAGGGTCATCCCAGGATAGCTGTTTCATGTGACCATATTTGGCTTGCTCCAACGCCACACTATAAAATCAAAGCAAATTGATTCACAATGGAAATTAAATTACCCTGCTGCCATCATAAGCTCATTACTATTTGCCCCGTCTTTGTTGACTAATGAGATTAATTGATCTCTGACCCCTTCGTACCATTTTTTAAAAAGTGTTTGTGGACAGTAATCGGTCTTTTAGAATTAACAAAGCCTTCTCTCAAATTTTATGTGCGAGTCTTCATCAGAAGTTAGGGAAATACAATGGGATGAAGCAGAAGAGCCAAAGGCCTCTCTGGATCCAGCCCAATGTTTATCCTTAATTTCTGAACATCCTCCAGTTCGCTTTAACCAAATGTAATGGCCAGACTCATGCACACAACTTTGATTGAAGCCTCTCCAGTACCAATTGGAAGAGAATCATGAGCTTCTACTAGGAATGCATCTTTATATGGAGTTGTTCAAAGGCTTCTGTTGGACAACTGCTCTGGACAGACTGTTCTATCTGGGCCTAATGCTCTTTGTGTCTCTCTCTTTTTTTAATTTTCAGGAAAGGACAAAATTATATTTGTGACCAAAGAGGACCATGAGACACCAAGCAATGCTGAACTGGTAGCAGATGACCCCAATGATCCTTATGAAGACCATGGTCAGTAGTACAGAAAGCATAATGTTCAATAGGGCTGTATACTGGTATTGAAATAACATCGTAATAAGTCTTTCAACACAAATTGCTGGTTCCTGTTAGCAGAGAGATTTGCTCAGTAGCTTGTAGTAATCCAGGGTATTTAATGTGTGCTCTTCCATGTTTCCATGTGTTTAAAATTGGGTTTTCTTTATTATAAAAAATGTAGTCAGGAATCTCTAGGGGGCAGCAGTCACACACAGAGACAGCTATGCTTGTGATGTACTGTGTTGGCTGTCACCTGTATACGATCCTATCTGAACCCTATCTCTCAATATAAACTTTCATGGTGTGGATTTGTTTTAAAATGGGTGTTCACAGTGTGGCTGGCAGTGAAAAGCCTGACATTTTTCTCACTTCTCCATAGTAAAAACAGCTGTGCTAAACTAAAAAATGTGTATAATGTATTTTCTAAGCTTATGCCCCGTTTTAGCTATCTTGGGGCTTCAGCAAAACAAACAATGTAAAACAAGTAATAAAAATACTTTAACCCGCCCCCTCCCCAACAGCTAAAACCAGTGTATAAAATAAAGGTGTAAAAGTTATATTACTGAATAACTTCAGCAAACCCACACATATCTGGGATTATTTTTCATGGGGCTGGTCAGCATTTTCAGGTATCACCTATGCTAATTTTATATATAATAAGCTGCTAATTTAGAGAGAGTTAGGGGTGAGAGCAAGAAAATCTGGTGCGGAATAGCCACTGGTAGAATAACCTCATCGCTTTACTAATAGCAGTACTTCCACCATAGAGAAGTTTCTGTTACTTATATTTAGGACACCTTTGGGAGCCTCAAGTGGTCTAAGCCCATGGGGTCTCATATGGACCCTCGACTTTATTTAGCACATTTGGCCTACATCAATAAAATCAATGCTAAATCAATGTGGAAAGTTCTCTTAACTTATTTCACTTGGCATTTGTGCCACAGTAATGGCAGAGCCCCCAGTCTGACTCCTCTTCGTGGTACTGTACTCTTGGTCTAAGACAAAGGTTTTGGTCAGCCTGGAGTGGGTGTTTTTTACCTTTTCCCCACAGTAGTCTGGACATAAGCTTATTCATTCCAAAGAAGGGAGTACTAAAAACTGTTGGCCGAAGTGATACGTTCTTCAGTGTTGCCTGCTAAATAAGCAGTCCACTGAACATAAACAAGCAGTGTACATCAGGAATATATAAAACAAGGATAAGTATGTACATGAAAACAGGACCTGTGGGAATTGTGAATGAAATGCAATAAAAGGTTAATGAAACATAACTTCAGTTATTGAATTAGAAGCAGCTGTTCATAGACCTTACTCTAATGCATTTCATAAGAGAATACAACCCCCCTCCAATAAGTAATTTGAAAGCTTGCTGTGATTAAGGTTAACCTTGTAATCTTCAGATAAAAAGAAATAGATGTCCCTTTCCGTGCTCCTAAACTCCTAGGCTTCAGCAACCATCTGCATCTTATTGCAGAAAGACGTGCAGCAGCAGAATTTGAGTGTCTCTCACCCTCTCCTTCAGCCTTCATCATTTCAGGCAGGATGTATTGCTGGCCAAGAACCAGCATAGTGTCTACAGGCTTGGGGGAAATTGCTTTGCAGGCTGTTGGCACCTCCCATTCTGAGATTCCTGCGGCAGCTTCTAAAGGTTTAGAGTTGAATTTCCTACTGGCCAGGAATACAAAAAGATGAATGATGAATATTTTCCTCTCCGCCCTTCTTTTTTGTCTTGGTGAAAAGCAGTTTTGTTGAGGGGGAAATCAATGCGATCTTGTTTAAAAGCAAACCCACTTCCAAATGTGAAGCCAAGTGGATTTATAGCAGCGCAAAACAAACGAATTAAATTGACCCTTCAGTTTGTTAAGAGCCAGCTAACTGGGGCTCCCATTTGTTTCAGTGGGATTGGCACAGAATAAACTCCTAGTAGATTGTACTTGTTTCTACCAGGTTTTTGTTGTTGTTATATAGATGAAAAATTACCATAATGTACCACAAGGCCTTAGTGTTTATATTTTTAATTTGTCATTTGAATGACATTTAAAACTGTTTTCAAACTTTAGCATTTTGGTTTCATTTTAATTTAGTGAGAAATATTGTGGTGTTGTGTGTTCCAGTATAAAAGATCCCACCCACACCCAAAGTAGCATAGGGAATTATTTTCTGAGAATAATCTCTGGCTCTTTGTATTGTCGTGCTGGGATTTGACAGTACTGTATAGCTTTCCAGCTTTCCATTGCAATAGCTTCTAAAATATAATTGGGGTGGTTATAGCAGAATTTGTCTGGTTTTACTGACTAATCTTATTATGGCTGCAATCCTAACAACACTTACCTGGGTGTAAACTCAATTGAATTCAATAGGACTTACTTCTGAGTACAGTATATAGTTAGGGTTGCAGCTTATTTTACAAGCAGCTCCCAACTGCTTCTGATTCTTCAATAAACAATTTTTAATGCTTTTAGTTCTCTTTTGAAAATGTTTCAGCATGAGTACCAAGCAAAGGAAACTATGCTTCATGTACACGTTAGGTGTTTTGTATTTGACTGTCCTCCCTGTGCTGGAAGAAGAGAAGTTGTCTTTAATCATAGACGGCAGAAAGTCTTATCAAGAACCTTCAGCCAGTGGTCATATAGTGCATCAGTTTTGAGTTCTAATTCAAGAGGCATAAAAGAGGTATTGACACAGCCATTATAGAAGAGAAGTGGCCCTAGGTCATTGAACACTCCTTGGCATTTGTGAAGGGCTGTTTTCTTGGCAGATTTTTTCCTAGTTCCGTGAACATAGAAAGTGTTCCACAGAATCTTCTTCCTAGCCAAGAAGCTGCAGTACAACAGTTGCAAGCTCCAGTTCTTCTGTGCTACCTGATGCCAACATGGGGTCTTCCTGTCATCTTCTCTCATCTGCATTCAGCATGGCTTGTATAATTTGCAGAACTTGGGTTCCTGCGTGCTCTTTAGAAAACTCCCACCTAATAAACCCTTCCTGCACAAAATTCATTCCGTAGCAAAAGTTAGTAAAGGTAAAGGGACCCCTGACCATTAGGTCCAGTCATGTCCGACTCTGGGGTTGTGGCGCTGATCTCGCTTTATTGGCCGAGGGAGTCGGCGTACGGCTTCCGGGTCATGTGGCCAGCATGACTAAGCCACTTCTGGCGAACCAGAGCAGCGCATGGAAACGCCGTTTACCTTCCCACCGGAGCAGTACCTTTTTATCTACTTGCACTTTGACGTGCTTTCGAACTGCTAGGTTGGCAGGAGCAGGGACTGAGCAATGGGAGCTCACCCCGTTGCGGGGATTTGAACCGCCGACCTTCTGATCGGCAAGTCCTAGGCTCTGTGGTTTAACCCACAGCACCACCCGCGTCCCTATGGAACGCAGGTGCAAAAGTTACTAGCCTACAATTCATTATTAGCCCGCCTACATCTGCCTGTTTTCATTTGGGGTATATCTACAGCCTGAAAGAAGGAAAAGAATCGACCTGTAGCACTTCAGATTTTGTGGGACTCTGAACTCCCATCAGCTCTAGTCAGCGTAGCCACGAGCTAAGGATTATGAGAGCTAAGGAATATGGGAGCTAGGGAGTATGGGAGTATCTTGAAGGCCACATGTGCCACAAAGCAATCAGTGACTATTTGCAAGGCTTTTTGTATTCTGAAAATACAGAGAGATGCTGGGTTCATTCAGCTGTGGTCAGAGAGTATTCCTAAATTCAGAGTCATGAGCTTCCTCTCTTCCCTCCTCCAGTGGATCTACAAGGAAATGAGAAGCTTTCACTTCTTCTTTTTCAATGGACTGTGGTTACTCATTATGTCTGAACCCAGAATAAATTATATTTTGGCCTGTTTCCCTAAACCATAGTTAAGGTTAACCACAGTTCTGGGTCTGGAAAGAATAATAAATCATGTTTAATTGAAAATGGAAGCCACACTGCAAGTGGGGATTTGGCATTATGTCTGAACTCTGTATCCATGACTGCTCAGGAAGCAGATTTGCACAACCAAGTGAACTAGTTAATGTGGGAATGGTTTACAATAGCTTGAATGTGATTTAGGTTGCACTCTTGCCCTTTGGACTCGGTTATCCTGCCCAACGTGTAGAGTGGAATTGGAAGATTTTAAATTTTAGGAGTGGTTTTTAACATTAATAAATGTTTTAACACAGTTTCAAAGTTACTTGGATTATCTGCTTTCATAGTTTTTATGCATCTCTACTTAGATGTAAGACCTAGCTAAGTGGAAGTAGGACTGCAGGGGCTGAAAAATCACTCTCGTTCCAAGGGTTCAGACTAATAAGTCCTATAATTTTACATCAGTGTTCAGCCCCATTAATGCTCCTATTGGATGCATAGCAGCAGGGCTTGGTGAGTTGCATCTGGAGAATTTTGTGACCACCGTGTGATCACTTGCTTATGGAGGCTGCTCAGATTTGCAGATTTGGAATCTTGTGTTTTCTCCTTCATAAAGCAAAAACACAATTCTGCTGTTCCGCACAAAAATCGCCCCTCACCTGCTTCATGTTTTCCTTCCCAGACTTGGCTACTCATTTAGGAGCAAAAACATGAAAGCAATGAAGGGGTTTTTTGTGATTATCATCGGCATCTTTTATGTTTGCTGCTAGTGTCAATAGCAGTAGTAGAAGCGGCATCTTGTCAACGATAGGGTTGATTGTAAGCAGACAATTGATTGTATTGGATTTAGGGGAATTGAAACTGACTGTGTGGGCTCAGTGTGAAATAGTTACCCTTGTTCATCATATTGAATCTACAGCACACAAGTTCAGTCACATCTCCATTATCTGCCATTAGCTTACTGATTTCTTTTTTTCCTTCCTAGGTTTGATATTGCCTAATGGAGATATCAACTGGAATTGCCCTTGCCTTGGCGGAATGGCGAGTGGTCCTTGCGGGGAACAATTCAAGTCCGCCTTTTCCTGTTTCCATTATAGCAAGGAAGAAATAAAGGGATCCGATTGTGTGGACCAGTTTCGTGCAATGCAGGAGTGCATGCAGAAGTACCCAGAGCTGTACCCCCAAGAAGATGATGACGATGAAGAAGATGAAGAAAAGCAGGGCAAAACTCTAGAAGCTGCTGCTGCTTCTGTAACCAAAGAGGAAGAGAAGGGATCCAGCTAATGAAGCTCCACGGAGGCTTTGGTCTCCTTTCCAACTTCAAAGAGACACTATAACTTATGCAAAGCATCTTCCCTTCCCTTCCCTCCCCTCCCTCTCTGCCCCTTCTCCTGATCCTTCAAGGAACACCCTTCACCTCTCTTCAGTGCACTGTGTCCTGTGAAATTACTTGCTGCAAGGAAGTAAGACACCTTGGCCTCATGGTCTCAATAATGCTGCAAAGAGGTCAGTGCATAGCAGGGGGACAACCCATTCTCAGGCACTGCCGCTGCTTTAATAGTTATTTCCTTCTCCAGTCATGTTAAGTTTGCAGGTTGACTTGAACAAGACTAGTAGAGAGGTGGAGCCAACACACAATCTGGAGGAAATCCGTCAGCAAGGATGTCCGGTCAGGGTTGATTTTCAGTGATTGTCTCAGATATTCCCAATGCTTTTTTGGGGTGGGGTGGGAGGCATAAAACTCTTAAAATTGATTCAGAAACTGTTGAGAATGATTGAAGTTTTCATTTGCACAGTTTATATGCTTTAATAGCATGTGAAATTTGCATACGCTACTGATTTCTGGTAATGGAAAATTATTGTGTGTGTAAAAGGGGGGAATGATTTTTGCATTATTATTTTTTTCAAAAGTGTTGATCAGGTCTTGATTTCACTGAGTTGATAGGGGAGAATGCTAACTACTGTTTCTCAATGTTCCTGATCAACCCTGCTTTTGTGGGATTCCTCTCTGTTCAAGCCTGTCACTTCTCCAGACAGGTTGCTAAAATAGATGCCCTTGACAAGGAAATTGCAATGTTACCTGGTGTAACAGCCTCTGACTAGATAATTGTGACTAGAGTGTACATTAAAGGCAAAACCTTTCTAACTTGCATTGAAGCCTTCATGTCTTTTATTAATGCTGGCGATTGATTACTCAATTCTTTTCCTGTTGCTGCTGTAGCCAAGCTACTGTATCCTGGAAGATGCACGCTAGCAGAACTACACTGTGTTACTTAGATTTATGGATTTTTGTGTCTAGTAGGCGAGGTTACGCTCCAAGCATATCTTTAGCAAGCAAGTACAGTGTATGCTGAAATCAAGCCAAATTAAAATCTCCCAAAATTTTTTAACACAATTGCTGTACCTTGGTGCATGCTGGTACAGTAAGAGCATAATATGCAAACACTTGATGAACCTTCTGGATCGGGCCAGTGGCCCATCTAGTCCAGCATCCTGTCGTCACAGAGGCCAACCAGATGCCTATGGGAGACCTGAAAGCTGGACAGGAGTGCAACAGCACTCTCTGCATTGACGATTTCCAGCAACTGGCATTCAGAGACATAATGCCTCTTGCCAGTGGAGGTAGAACATGGCTAAGCTGCCTAGTAGCCGACGATAACCTTGTCTTCCATGGATTTGTCTAAACCTCTTTCAAAGCCGGCCAAGTTGGTGTATGTTTACAGTGGTGTTAATGAGCTTCCAAGTGTTACCAATTGTCACTTTAGCAGCATATTATCCTCTGCACAGACACCAGACTGTTAAATGTGTTGCAAGTGGCTCTCCTTGCTGCCTCTTCTCTTAAGTGCCGCCTGATTTCTATCATTCACTTTTCATTTAACGAAGTGGAGTGGAAGTACCAGCTCTCTGTCAGCAGTTCACTCCTGGGATGGATAGCAGGCATTTCGAAAGTGCATTCTACTCTTTTTTTTAAAGAGAAAAAGAGCATGAAAAGGCCTCTCAGTCTGCATACAGAATAGGCAACAAAACAGGTGCCAAAAGTGCAGAAGTGATAAAAGCTTGGCGCCTAAGCCGTTGGCCCAAAGAGATGGAGCCTTGAGTGATCAGATAAAATATGGGGCACTTGTTAAGAGTGGGGTTTACCTGGACCTGTTATTTCTGAAAAGGAAACTCAGCTGGCTGGGTATTAAGGCAAACAAATTGCCAGCCTTTGTATTTTCTCATCTCCTTTCTCATGCCTTTTTTCTTTCTTTCACATTTTGAAAATGATTTATAACAGTGTTTACAGAATCTGGGTGTTAATGTGCCTTTCACAAGAGACTGGGAGATGCTTCTTTGTGTGGCCATCCCACAACAGTCCTGCCAGCCTTTGAACACTGTAGGACAGGCATAGGCAAACTTGGCCCTCCAGATGTTTTGGGACTACAGCTCCCATGATCCCTAGCTAACAGGTCCAGTGGTCAAGGATGATGGGAATTGTAGTCCCAAAACATCTGGAGGTCCGAGTTTGCCTATGCCTGCCATAGGACCTAAGGGCCACCGTAGGAAATGGCTCTCTTGTTGCTCCTGTAAGGCCTCAAGGCAGCCACAGATTTACATATGAAGATATTGGCCCCCATTTTAGAACCTGTCTAGCATGAGCAGGGAGGAGTGAGAAGGAAGAGGATTCTTCAGTAATGGCTTATTTTTAAGGTACAGTATTTACCTTTCAGAACTTCATTTTCAGCATTTAGTAAATACCAGTATTTATTTGGGTGGGGCATGTGTAACGAACAGAGCAGTTGCAAACATGTCCGGTCTATGTACTTTCTGTTTCCTGTTCTGTGCTGCGAAAACAGAAATTGGCATAATTCTAGTTCACAAGCACGTGAAACAATATGCATATTGCAAGTTTGCTTTTATAAAGCGAATAGAAGTCCAAAAATGTGGTGCATGGGCCTGTTGTGAAATTGCCCAGTTTAGGGCATTCCATTAAGACCCTCATTCCTCTCTGGTTCTTGCCTCTTAAAACAGGGATCACCAAGGTGGCGCCCTCCAGCTGTTGTTGGACTCCAGCTCCCATCAGCCCCAAGCGGCATAGCCAGTGGCCAAGGATGGGAGTTATAGTCCAAAGAGCACATGGAGGGGGCCCCCATTGGTTATCCGAGTTCCAGAACAGCCTTTCTCAACTATGGGTCCCCAGATGTTGTTGGACTACAACTCCCATCATCCCTGACTACTGGACCTGCTAGCTAGGGATGATGGGAGTTATAGTTCAAAAACAGCTGGGAACCCAAGAGTAAGAAAGGCTGCTCTAAGAACATAACTTTTTCTCCCCCCAATCCTTCTGCCATCATTTCTCCTGTCCAGTTAATAAACTAATTTTTGCCACTCCATGTAAGTCAAGGGATTTTGAGCCTAAGTATTATTTGCCCATGCACCTTTTTTTGGGTACCCACAAAACTGCAGGTACAAAAGCAGATCTACGTTAATCCATTTTTTATATGGATGAGCTATAGCAATATTTAGCTAGCCTCTTTACATCACTGAATGCTTCTTGTCATAACAAAATATGAAGGAGTCAGTATTACATTTAGACAATATAATATAAATGTAGTTTACAATACTGTATCCAGTTTGACTTTAGCACTTTTAATGAAAACTGTGAGCAACTAGAAGTAATGGCTTCTACTCATAGATTACCTGAAACGCATACCGGAGTCTAAATAAAAGAACAATTGTATGTAAAAGGCCTTGGCCTGTGGTTAAGTACGAGCATTTTTTCACATTGCAAAGTGTTTCCCATAACCTACAGATAACCTATCCATGTGTTTAAGTGAAGTTAGATTTCCATTTCTCTTGCAGCTGAGTGGCATTCAAAACAAACTTCACAATCTTTAGGACAAGTAATATCTGAGCAACGCATCTTCTATTCTCCCATTTCAATTGATGAAAATGTGTCCCTAATGGATGCCTGACTTCAAATGGAAGCCTTCAGTTAAGCCAGTCTGGTCAATATTACATCTTTGTAAGCGCTAAGGAATGCTAGTCTCCTTGCCTTGTAATTTCTTTTCAATGGACTGCCCTGTGTGACCCAAGTTTCGTGTTCCAGGTGTGGCTTCTGTAGACAACACCATTTCAAGCTCATGGAGGTACACTCACTTTTTGTGTATGGACTTAGCAATTTCTCTGCAAGACTGACCTCAGGCAAAAAGGTTTGGCATATTGCAATAGAAGCTAGCTGTATAGAGAACTGATGGGCCTGAGCGGTTTTGCAAGATGTTAAAAACTTCTTGTTTTTTAAAAGGAATAAATGTGCACGCAGTGATTTGCAAACTAAAAAGTAGATACGGAAGGGAAAGCACAACTAGTGTGTCCTTCGGTAAGATGTCAGCCGTGGGAGTGATGAGGAGCTCTCAAGCTGCAGAAGAAAGGAAATGCAGCGAGTCTGGATTGTTGTATATATATTTTTTGTGAGCATCTTGAGCCTCTTCCAATGGACAAACATGTCCTGTTAGCTGTATCTGGCTACCTGATTCGAGGGGTGGCAGGTCTGGTGAAAGCTGCACTTTACACATGGTTTAGAGTGACATGAGCAAGCAGGACAGGGCTGCAGTGAAATAAGCCTATGTCCCCTCTCATCTCATGGGCCAGGAGTAGTTTGAAAGCTTTTGCTTAGCCCATGGTTTGCTTTTTCATTTGGACTGGCATGAGCTCTTGTTAGTTTCAAACAAGGCAACTTCAAACCATAGTTAACTGCAGTGGGCTTGTTTAAACTTAACATAGTCATGATGAGCCACAGATGGCACAGTAAACTGTGGTTAGTCAGAAACAGAAGCTTTCAATCTGCCAGCTATGCAGGAAGAGGAGGGGAAAGAGTATGAGCCTGTGAGACACACACACATGCTAAACCATGATTCAGTGTAGCAAGCAAAGGTAGCCTTTGTATCTTTGCAGATTTCTGTGTGCCTTGACTAGCCAGGACATGGAACGCTACTTGCCAGCCTTGCAGGTGATGCAAGATGCAGTTACATGAGTGTTGTGTGCCTGCCCACAAGTGCTTCAGCTCTTCAGGAATTGTAGAATCAGAATTGTAGAGTTGTAGTGAAATCCTCTGCACTGCAGGAATCACAACTAAATCAGTAAAACAAGGCAAGATCAATAAGACAAGGTGTTGTGTTTCTTAAAGGCCAACACTTAAGCATTTTCATGGTGCCATTCTCTTTGAACCAACCAACAGAAAATAGAGAATACCAGCAGCACTAGTTGACTATCTTTGTTTCATATTAGAGAAGAGAGCTCTTTGAGAAGCTTTGCTCTTAAACAGAACGTAATTGCCGCAGGCAAGTGGTTGCTGGCAGCTATAACCCCAACAGTTTTTACATGAAATATTAGCAGGACAGCACTTGAGAATCAAATATTATCTTGGAAAGAGCAGGTCAGAATAACCACATGGCTGTTCCCAGAGGTAGCCGATGTTTCCTTGAATGTATGTCTCACTAGCAGCCCTGCAACCTCTTCTGCGGTGGTTTGGTGAATCTACCAACGCCAAACCAAATCAACTTCCAGGACTTCTTTCACTACTTGCACGCAGAAACTGTGGGCCGGTGCTGCATTCTTCCCTCACAAAGGAATCACCGGTGCTGCACAAGCCCTTCTTAGCAGCAATCCTCCTGAAATTTGCGTGGTGCAATGGCTGCCGGGGGGAGGGCAAGCTGGGAGAAGACCTTTGATGAGAGCAGGTGGGCTCAAAGTTAAAGCCAGAACTATTGTTGATTTGGTGCACGTATTGAGAGAACAGCCCTAGACAAGGCAAATGATGTTAATCCAACTCTCCACTCATCAGTCCTTGTAATCTCTAATCCAACTCTCCCCACCTACCACTTCCCCCAGAAGCTCTGTGAAAGAACAAAGATGAAGTCCATTGAGACTCCTGCCTGCAGGATCAGACCCCAGCCATGCCCCGCCATATGCAGTGCACACACTTCCCAGAATCCCCCAAGGGGCTAAGTCCTGGGAAGGCGTTCAGCCTCTTCTACCATCTCACAGGCTCTGCCTGTTTGCTTCTCTGGTGGCAAAGTTCGGACACAGACAACATAAATCTACAGAATCTTTCCATCCCAGTGCAAATGCTGAGGGCGCACGTACAGACTCTTTAAGGACCCCCAAAGGCTG